GTTAGTTTGGTTAGGTTATGATAGTTTAATTTTAGAATAAAAAATTATAAAATAGGATTTGAGGCATTTATAATTTTATTTTATGAACAGAAATATTTTTTCGATTAATAAACCTTCATTAGATTTTTTTCATTGTCAGCACGTTTGGTTGGTTTGGTTAGGTTATGACGGTTTAATTTCATAATAAAAAAACATATAATTGTTTTTGAGGCATTTATAATTTTATTCTATGAACAAAAATAATTTTTCAATTACTAAACCTTCGTTATAGTCAATCAGAAGCCTCTAAATGATACTGTTGGCAAAATTAATCCTGAAAAACAAATTATGCATCCCTGACTATCGCCGGTTTAAATGTATAAAATGCATGCTTTTCACACGTATGTTGCGTGCGCACATGGTGGTAGGTGCGCATAAAAACTTATATATTTATACGCCTAATGAAAAAAATTGTTTATTCACTGGCAATTAAGTAAAATAACTATTATATTTTTGTTTTTGGTATACGTTTTTATCATCTCATATTAATTACGCGAGGACTGTGTTTTGTGAACACTACTCTTCCCTTATTTGTGGACAAATTTCAACGTTTAAGGTGTTAGTGTTAAAGGATTCGGACCAATTCGTAGTTTTGGATTAAGGTTTTAGAATTTAAAAGTTCTTACCCTTAAGGGCGTGAGACCCTTTCAAATGTCGGGTTTTCACCATGTTAATAATTGTATTACCTATCAATCTTTCATCCGAATATAAACTAAAATGTCCACAAATGCTATTTAAGAGTTAGGTACAGTACATTAACTTTCTCTAAATTAACTGAATCAAAGTACAATATATCTAATGCTACAGAATATAAATCCAACCGATTTATTTATTGATAAATCCAACCGCGAGGTGGTGGGTTGTCGAGGTGGCACGTTGTCGCCTATGAGCGAGGTGGCGCGTTGACGGCACCGAACACTGAGCGTACACGTCAACCCGCCACCTCGTAAAAGAGTGGTGGTGGGTTGACGGGGTGGCACGTTGTCACCTACGTACGAGGTGGCGGGTTGCCGACATCGAACATGGAGCTTCACGACAACCCGCCACCTCTGATAAAAACTGGTGTTGGCGGGTTGTCGTGGTGGCATGTTGTCGTGGTGGCTCATTGACTTGAGTGTGTACGACAACCCGCCACCTCGGAAAATTGTGTGGTGGTGGGTTGTCGTGGTGGCCTGTTGTCGAGGTGGCGGGTTGACCTGTACGTACACGTCAACCCACCACCTTGGTTTTTTTTGTGGTGGCGGGTTGACGCCTCTGACCAAAACACCGAGGTGGCGGTTTGACATGGTGGCGCATTGACAGCGACCCAATCAAATGAACCACTGCTTTGGATACTCCAAGTAAACAATTCGTTTACGTGAACCCGACGTATCATTGACTTTGGATACCGCAAGTAAACATATCGTATCATTAACTTGGAATACTGCAAATAGACATTCCATTTATGTAAACCGTCAATGGCGTATCATTGACTTTGGATAATGCAAATAGGCATTTTATTTATCCGAACCAAATGTATCATTGACATTGGATACTGTAATTAGACATTTATGAGAACCAGATGAAACATATGCTTTGGTTTCTGCAATTAGACATTTCATTTGCGTGAACCAGACTTATAAATTGACTTAGAATACTGCAAATAGATGACATTCCATTTAAGTGAACCAAATATACCATTGACATTGGATCTGCAAGTATTTAATCTCATTTGCGAGGAACAGATGTAAAATTGACTTTAGAAAAGTATTGGATTAATATGCTAGCTCCGCTCAATATTGCAAGCATACTACTGCATTGCACACCTAGTATTTAAATCAAACCAACTTACCCTCACAGAATAAATTATTCTAAAATTATTATTCACTTACTAGCTGCTGTACCCATGCTTTGCAAGAGAAAGGACACAGAATAGAAACATGTTGATCATTAGAACTGTTGTATAAAGTAGTTACACATCCGCCAACGAGAAACAAAATTCGACCTTTAAGAATAAGAATATTTATTTTCCTTTTGACTATTGACAAAGTACATATGCATTTGGAATCGTCAGTTAAGCAAGGCAGAATATGATTACAATTTCTACAAATTCAAATTCAATAAACATGCTTCTTCAAAAACTCTCAAAAGTTCTACAATGTTTATGGCTTTTTAATCTGGTAGGGTAAGTAGTGGAAACCACCATTTTGGTTTTGATTAATTTTAAATCTTGTGTAGGCTGAAATGTAAAAACCAAAACCTTACCAAAATTTCAAATATAATTTTCACATACAGTATCAGATTTACCTTAATACCCCCCCCCCCCCCCCCCCCGTGATCTTCTGACAAGGTAAACGTTTTCAGGAGTTCGGATGGTTCTTTGAGCTCAAAATATCCTTCGCAATACACCACCACATACACTGAAGGCCTTCACCCACACCAAAATGTAACAGCTTTGCGGCAGGCCAACATAACAAGTTCGCAGCGCACGCTAGCTGCACAGCAACAGACTGATTTTAAAAAAAATGCATCTCGAGTGCAAAAGCACATTACTCACTCGAACAAGCCATGTCTACTACTGAAAGTGATATTCTTAGGAAATCCCAAAGCCACAGCGTCATTTGAGCCTAACTCCATTCCTCTAGCACACCCCCACTACTCACGCCATCTTAAAAGTAGGGATGTTTCCCTGCCCCACCCTGTATAAGTGTTCCGTTAGTTTTAAATTGAAAACTAAACATTATTGTTATGGCTGTAGAAAAAAAGTTAGCAGTTATAAATGAGATTGTAAATACAACGGAATCAACCTATGGTGGTGGCTCTGCTTGCCTATTGTAACTGAATTTTTTAATCATGGAATATAGAGTGTATCCAAAAATGTCCGTTAACTCTTGCCTATTCTCTAACAGTTAAAAAACCCCAAGGCATGATCCTGAAACAAGCATTTGTTGATGTTGGACCATGAGAATTCAGTGCTGGGTTAAAGTATGTTGCAGAGCCGCGCCCGAACAATAGATGGGCTGCTTTTTGACCCAGGAACCTCCTAAAGAACTTCTGATGAGCATTAACAAAAGATCGGCCAGGCGAAGAAAACCAACGTTTAGCATACTTGTTATAATGATCTTTGAGTTTTAGTTTGAAATGTTCACATTTCGTTGAAATTAATTTTCCAATCAATAAAATTCATATTTTACTAAAAATTTATATTCAATTGTTTAGCTAAATATATATATACTAGTGGCCTGTAGGGGCCATAGCCCCTAATTTATACTACAATAAAAAACCATATATAAAAAGACAAATATTCTAAATATGTTTTTAAAATTAATTATCAATTTTATGTTACTTGAAATTAACAGTGTTTCTTGTTTTATATCTTGGTTTTCCTTCCGTTTTGGAGTCGTATATTAGTTACTTCTGATGTGTCAATGAAATACAATTGTAAAATAATGATTAAATCAATAACACAACATATTAACAAATGGAAACGTGCACACGGTTTGGCCTTAGCCCGGAGAACGACGAATCAGAGTTGAAATCATACAGCCAAACATTGCACATCTTTTCTAGTTTAAAAAAATTTAAGATTTGTTTTGTAATCTTACGAATTCTGTTATAGTTTCAATATTGAGAACCAAATGTAAAGGTTAAAATTATTATTAATTATTATGAGGGCAACTCCCCGAATTTGTCCCTGAATTTTAAGACAGTAAGACCCATTTCCTGGAACTCTCTTTTTGTGTAGTGGAAAGCGACGCAAAAACCATTGCACTGTTGTATTGCATTATAATGTTTTTTTATGAAGTTTGAATCATGTAAAAACAGTTTTTTAGTTCGTCATTTACTTGTGGTTGTGGCATTGCCCATGCGTTGAAATTTCCATTTGTGGCCTCCTCTGCGAAGTGAATGCGCCACAATGCATGCAAGTGCTTTAAGAGGACCTAGATTGTGAGAAACAACACTCAACTCATTTTCCAGCGTTCTTCTAAAGATAGGTTGTAAAACAGTTTCTGGATTTCTTTCACAGTTAGGCCCTACATGACGTTCTCTTTTGCATTTCTTAAGTCTGTTGAATTCCTGGAAACTCTTCCACGTCTTGCAGGTCTTCCCCTACCCTGTCTAGTTACTTCACTCATTATAAAAACGGAAAAACAAAAAAATTAAACACAATTCATTTTGAAACATTATTTACCAACATTGACTTTCAGAATAAATGTAAACATTGCAAATAAATAAGTAACAGCTGATAGAATGCAGACGTTTTTCAGTCCCCATGCATTTCTTATGGTGGATATTTTACGTTATATCTCGTTTTCTGGTAACTTTATGGGAATTCTGTTATTTTTCCCGAGTCCCTGGGGCCAAGACCTTCAATTTAAGACCCCTCCCACCTTTCTGCGACTTACCAGACGTCCACAATTTTCTGGTAAAAATTTGGTCTTACAGAATTATATATATAGATAGCCTATATACATACATTAATATAGTTGACTGGTCAGTTTTTTTGTTGTAGTTCTGAACTCAGATGGTCTCAGATGTAAGAGAATGCTATATCTTTAGCATTTTTATTTGTATACTTATTATCACATAAAAACTGTTATGTGGTTATCAATAACCAAAAGGTGGTAAAAGCTGAAACTGTTTGGTTATAAATTCTGTCCTCACTAGCTAGAACTGTACCACCACCCTGTTTGAGAAAAATTAAACATACAATATCAAACTTGTAAGCTTAAAATGTATGCAGGCCCAAAATATAACAACATCGCTCTAGCTGTGTTTTTGACAAATTGTTTCTCTTCACTGAGAAACATTTCGTAACTATTTTAATCACCCTAACATAGGTTCACCCTACACTATTTTTTTTTCTATTTGAATTTGTGCCCTGATGACTCCCCTCAATTTTGTGGACGTGTCTGTAAACACCACCTAGTAATTTATATGGATAATACCAGTAAAAAAATTAACTCAATGGTATGAAATATACAATGTTTATTTGTAAAAATCAGTACAAACATTTCCAGTGTTGTAGAAAAATAGTTGCCTATACTTTACACAATTATTGATATAAATATAAAAACGTCCTATGAGTAAAAAATATCAACTATGTGTGGGTTTCAACAGTATTAAATACAGTTAAAGGCAATCATAAACTTATTCTTATTGTAGTACCTACTAAAACTTTAGGTACCATATAAATCATGGGAATAGGTATGGTATTACATTAATTGTAAAAAAAAAACATAAGGTTACAATTAAATTAGGATAATGACATTCAGTAAATATTAGAAACAAATAAGTGGGTATGCATGTGAGTCAATCTTGCACACCACTACAAAATAAAATTAATCATTCAAACATAAATTGGTCTCTAGGAAATATTTGTTAATAAACCATCCATTTGTAGGTAATTTAACTAACTAAACCTATCATTAAGTATTAAGAAAAAAACCAACATTGCTAAAAATATTTACATGTTTTTTTTTAGAATTTTTAAATTATAATTATTGTTGAAAATAATTTATGTTGGTTCTTTATATTGTATCAGTCGGCCATTTAAATTTACTAACACTATATCTTAGACCTAGTAACAAGGCGTTCTGTGAAGGTGAACTTAGAGCTTCATTAATGTAATGAAGCTATACATACTTACAACTATAAATGATATTTCATCACCTCATAGAAAGAAAATCTTACGTTATTCAAAGAAAAACTAAATTATACAAAGATGGCACAGTACATTATAGTACGGTAAGTAAACCAAAGTTACTTATAGATTATTCAAAACTTAAAAATTACAATATTTTACGAGAAAAAATCCTCTAAACTAGCAGTAATAAATATTAAAATAGTACAAACAATCAGTTGAACACAGGGGGAATGAATTGTAATATCTCAAGCTTACTTAACATTACTCACAAGCTTACACAAAACATACAACAAAATACAGACAAACACAAAATACATACAAACGAGCAAAGTTATGTCTTAAAATGAAGTCTACAGCAAACTTACAGCTAAAACTTAAGTGAGAAGTAAAAGACGAATGTTAGTGGTAGGCAACCAGGCGGCGTGGAAGCCGCAGGTTGCGTGGCTTTGCTATGAAGGCACGTCGGAGTCCTCTATCTCGCAAACACGAGCCGAGATGTCACTGAGGGAGTGACTGGCGATACTTGACGGGAACCCATATGACGGGGGAGCGTCGTCTCCACTGCGGTACGACAAGTACAGCTCTTCATCCAGGGTTGCTAGGTCTCGAGCTGGGTCAACTGAAATGGGAAAAGAAAATTACTTGTTTTACTATCGATTTCAAAAATTCATCAGAAAATCTCAGTGATAGCATAACTCAGATTCAGGATGAGTTTCAGGATTGGGTTCAGGATGAAGTTTCCATTAAATTGGTAATTTCATCAATACCAAGGTTTTGTTAATATTTTCACTGTAGAAAGGAGACTCAAATACAAATCGCTCCAATTTAACCACCTTTTAAACTAATTAGTACACAAGTGATTATTGCTTATCTTTTTTACTGAGAATAGGGGTGACGGGAACTAGCTTGGTAGGTGGTTAAAAAGCAATTTTTTCATTCTTTCTAAAAGGTACAAATTATTGTGAATGAAAAAAATTATCTAGTATAGTATTTTTTGGAATAATGTAAACTAGAAAAAAAAACTTTGCTATGTCAACAATGGCCAGTTTTTACTTTTATGTCTGACTAACCACATAAGAGTAGGTCGGGATTTTTTGTTCATTATCACACAGAAATATGGATTATAGAATTATGGGTTTCTACATTGAAGAGAAAGCCATTTTGTCTTAAGAGCTGCTACACTGCAACATTATGTTTCTTACAATTGACTCTACATACCATAAGATAATCTACTTTTGTGATCACAGTGATAAAGTGAACCTGCACACACTTGGGCATCCTGTGGGTTTAACGAATGTGAGTCTGGGTTTTGAGTGTTTTGACTAAGGCTCAATACTGGAGTTAACTGACTACTAATTTAGCTTACTTGACCTTGATTTTCTCGCATTACTTCAAAAACACCCCTTTACCATACAATTACTTTATGATGAAAAGAAATAGAGCCAGAGATTGTTGTAATAATCAGTTCAAGTAATATATCCAGTGAATTTCTAATTTGAATTCATATATTTGTTTTACTCAAATTACTGCTTTTATTTAGTTTTAAGTTATCTTGCAATCTTTGCATATCAAAATCACTCAACTATAATTCAATTCTGTCCAGGAAAAATGAGGAATTAATTATGGCCCAAAACCCCTAATAAAATTTCCTCATGAATCCAAAATGTTTGAGTTTATTACTACAAATTGATGATTTCGGCAACAACATATCCTTTACCGAGGAGATGGCACTTACCAAAGGAAGTTTCAGAAGTCATGGGTATGTTGAGACGGATGGTGGACTCGTTGCTTGTGTTGCTGTGAAGGCTGGAAGAGTCGGGCACTTCACTGCCGGGCACTTCTGTTATGTTGGGCAAGGTGTGCTGACTGGGCACCCAGTCAGAGCAGTCCCAATGATATCCTGAAAGTCACAATTTGTAAAATTTCTAAACCTATGGCAATCCATGGGAATATCTAAAAGAACAATTCAACAATTGAGTTTTTGTTTGAAAACTTTTGGAAAAACAGGGTGACTCAAGGGTTTTTCATGTACCCAATAAAAATAATCTTTAGTGGTTTCAGAACCTAAGTTAGTGTTGCAGAGCCTTTGATGTGAATAGATCTTCTAAATTTCAATTTTGCTACCTACTGTATTTATAAAGTTTCAAAGTTTGTAGTTCTATTTTAACAAATGCCTTTCTTTAAATGCTCGATCATACAAGTTTTATTTTAAGTCAAAGTATTTTTTTTTAGGTTTTAGATTATAATACGACCTTATGAGGAGAAAAACATTTAATACAGCAAAAGACTTTCCACTCTCCTAATCCATAAAACTTTTTCCTTTTTTCAAAATACAGTACACTACATGTAGGTTGTGTCTCTAACATATCATTTTACAGCATCGGCACATAGCAAATAGCTTTTAATACTTTAATACTTTTCAATGAAATGGCGACCATACAAAGTAGGTATTTTAAGTCAAGTATGAATGGAGATGACTGTAGGATGAGTGGTGCAATCTTGTAGTCTTGTTAGTGACTAAGGTCGACTTATTCCTTAGACACAGCTGTTAATTAATTGCCCATACAGCTAATGGCAACTAAGGGACCTACAATTTATAGTGAAATCCGAACCACATTTTTGTCTTGATATATATGAATTGGTCTAATTTTCAGGATAGTACTGCGGATAGTCGTAGTACTCACTCGTGCGGACGTTAATCCACACCATCGCATCCCAAGTGCATGCCTATAAATATCCACAATTCGTAACCTCCTAGTACCTGGATTACAGGACGACGCCACACACCAGCAATGAAACTAATGAAAGATCATAAGAACACAGTATAACCTCGATTATCCGGGGTAATGTTGGGGGAGGGAGACCACAGATGGGCAGAAATAGTTAAATATAGGTCTAAAGTGAATTTCAACACATTAGACTAAAGAAACACATAAAATTATCTCGGTATTTATCCTAGATACTGTGGTTATGTTACATAATTGTAAAGGGCATTAATTGACCTTGGTTGATCTGCCCCTTTATAATCGAGGTTCTACTTTATGGATTAATTCTCTCTTGTTCAGGAGTAGGATTAAGGCCACCACACATTGCAGTAGGTAACAAATTTGACATGGCACACCAGAAGCTTAGTAAAGATTCACAATACTTTTATGAAAAAAGAAATCTTACCTCCAACAATTCTTGCATCATCCTCAACACAGCTCAATGCACGTCGAGACAGCTCTGGTACTCTCTTTAGGTCTGGAAAATAGAAATAAACATTTACCTTAAAACACATTTACTGGTGAAAATAAAACAATAAAAAGAGTAGCTTAAGTATTCACGTCTTAAGTGCAAGGAAATAAAAACACATAGGCATAGGCCTAGTTGTGTTAAACATGACCCTAGGAGGTAGTACTGTACATGTCAGGTATAGCTTTTACCTTTTTTGTCGTTGTTATATTCATATAAATATCGATAAAATCAGTTAAGAGTGGCAAGCAGGACGCACATTTAAAACATAACCCTTCCATCCCCACCATTGCTTTTGTTATTTTGTACATCAGCCATCTAAAAAATTGCCGATATATATCTAATTTAATATATGTATTATTTGTGGGGAAGAGGGGTTGGAGAGTTTTTCTGACTCTCCCACTACCTTCCTTACACAACATCCTAAATGACATAATCGATACACTTGTGCCGATATAATAGCCTTTAGAACTTATGATTGATAAGGTTCCTCCGAAGTCAGAAAAATCAGAAATCAGAAAATCTTTGTTGTTTCATATTGATTTACAAGCTTATACACAGAGTAAACTAAGAATAACTTAGATGAACTATAACTCACTCACTTATTTAACTATGAAACAATTCATCCCTAGGTCAAAGAACTGTTTGGGAAGTTCTATTACGTACATATATACATATAAAAACAGCTCAAAAGATGGGATCACCGACGTCAATAAATGTTACACTCTAAAGCATCTCTAAAAAAATAATATTTCTAAGCTTCATTTTTAAAATAGGCCTAAATATTTTAGACCTGATATATATGAAAAAAAAAAAAACTGTACAAATAACAAGAGAGAGTAACTAGATGTGAACAAGTTACCATTGTTGATCTTGTGATGAGGACTGCGGTTGAGGTTGCGTCTGTAGTCTGGTGGGACGTTTTCCAGCTCGTCCCCAGCAGAGCCGTAGCTGCGGAGAGTGTCGAGGTTGTTGAGAGGTATGACGGCCGCTAGAACCTCGTTATTGGAGCTGGCAGAATACGAGGCCGGTCTCGTGGATCGCTGCAACATAAAATGTTTAATGTTTAGTCTCTGTTAGCAAAAGTTTTAAAGTTTTGGGGTGTAATTATAATCATATTTTTTATTAACTGGAGAATGCAAGGTACTGATAAAATTTAAAGCACAAAATAAAGCCTCTAGAAGGGGAAATTTTGATAACATTTCATAACATTATAATATTTTTGACATGTTGTCTTACCTGCGTTACCTCTAGGTTACTTAGTTTTGAAGTTCTCTTGATATCAGGATTCAGAACGGGAGGTGATTTGTTAAGACGTGTGACGTGATTTGGTTTCTTGCATCGTCTGAAATCAAGGTCTATATAAGAAATTCATAAAGCAAGTTATTATGGAATTTTTTAGAAGACAATTTAAATAATGTAACTAATAAACCCACACATTATTTGCTTACATAATCAGGTCATTGTTTCTCATTGTAAGTGAAATGATCTAATTTTATATTTCTTTCCATTTATATCTTTTCACAGAATTAGATAGTATAGTAATAGTAATTTTAAAGTCATTCAAGCATAAATGTTCGTAGATACCTTACATCACTGATCACTGTAATATACTGATATTTCGACTCACAACTGTAATATAATATACATCCCACCTACCTATATATTACAAAGAGAATGACCAAGAAAATGATGCTGGCTACCGCGATGCAGATAGCGATGAACTCTTCCCATGTGATGCTGTATATGTTGGACGTGATGGCGGGGGGACAAGTGTGGTTGAGGCTGCAAGGTGGAGGCATGGAGGGTAGACACAGATAGCCAGGCGGGGGTTGTTGTGGGACACACATTTGTGTTGTGGGACATGCACAGGATGGCGGGGGCAGGGGCTCCTCACAGTGGTCTCCTGTGTATCAAACAAATTGAAGTTAAGTTACTGAAGAAATCAAAACTGTTGTTGTTGTCAATTTCTGACAACAATCAAGGTGAATGAATATGCTCTAACAGTTCACCCTCATTAACCGGCCATCACGAGTTCGTACCTACGAGGGGAGTGCATTGGTCGGACAACGTTAAAGGCTGAAATGGGCAACTAATCTAATCTTCCCATTTAGTAAGTTTTTTAGATCAGTGAAATAAAGACTGCAAAATTTATTTTATTGGTCATTTTTTTAGTCTGCCAAAATGTTTAATTATTCTTTTTAAAACAAACAAAAGTTTTCCTTCTTACACAAGGATTTTACCTATTCATTCTTATCCTGAAAGTAAGGAAGGAAATAAATGTCCTGTCCTGAACTAAAAGTCCAATCCTTTCCTTACCTAAGCTGTAACTGAATCATACATACCTTCACTTTTGATCGAAGCGAAGCTATTTACACGTTTAATTATATACAACCCACTTTAAAACAAACTTTTAAAAGTTAGCGTTTTTAAAATTTGTTTTGAATTTTTGTGTTAATATTGTCTAACAGGGGTGGATCCAGAGACAAAGTTTGGGAGGGGAACCTTCCAGGGGGTCTGAAGGGTATGGAAACCCCCAGTTAGAGAATTTCACTGTTAAAACATAAAAATGACAATATCATTGATAGCTAAATGTTTGTTAGCAAGGTTACCTGCGAAGCCTAGATTGCAAGCACAGTATAGCTGGTGGGAATGTCCTGGAGCTACAAAGCTGGTCACATCAGTCGCAATGGTGTACACGGTCTCAGGCTGTAGTCGCACACGCTGGCGACAAATAGCTCCGTTGCGACAGTCGCAAGTCAAAGCTACTGGACTGACGTTGGCTGCTGTCAATGCTTCATTCAGTGACTGCATGTCCACTCCCTTCGAAGATCATGAATTCAATGATATATATGAATAGTGAACACAAAATGAAAAAGTACTATTCTTCTAGCGTATTTTTACTTAAATAATTGATAAACCTACCGTAGCTATTCCTTACTACTCAGAGTATAATTTTTTCGTTTTGAGGTCAATGCAAGGTGACACGTCTTAGGTAACCTATTGAACTTTACAAATGTTCTCAGAAGTTTAAAGTAGAACGTTATACGATGTCTTAACATGATGAACATCCAGCGAATGCTGAGAAGTGTGATAATTTTTACCATTTTCCACAAATAACTTACAAAGGGTAGATTTCCAGTCAATAGATTTATTTCATTCATCAATTAATTCAATAAACTCAATACATGATATGGTTAGTCAGGGAAGTACCCTTTTGACATCTTACTCTTCTACCTCACCACTCACCCCATTGATGGCAAGTAGAACGTCAAGGTCGCCATGAGGAGCAGCTTGAACACTGATCAGTGAAATATCTCTCTGTAGAGATGTCTTCAGGCTGCGTACAAGACCCTTGCGTTGACTGAGTACAAAGTGTTGGGGAGTCACTCCATTGAGTCTACAACATAGAAGCACAACTGTTGAAACTCATCAACTGTTGTGTTAGTACTCAAAGATAAATTGCTTACTTGAAATAGGTAAGCACAAAAAAAGTGTTTGAAAACCAAGGGCTGTGGAAGAACAGAGTAAAAGCTGTGCTACTTCACCTCAGAATGTGGCCTATTTCAGGTTCACAGGTTACAACTCTAACTACTATTTGGAATCTTATTGGACAAAGATTAGTTTGAGGAATGCCTGTTTGTAGGAGGTTCTGTAGAAAAATGTAGGTAAAGTTACTTTGCAATTTGGTTCTATATTTGCTTTAATTAACAAATTTACATTCACTAATACCAACCAAAAACAACAACATAAGGTACAAGCAAAAAAACAATGTAAGGTATATTATAATGTACCTACACAAATAAGGATTTTTGTAAGGATGGCAATCTTAGGTAAAATGGAAGGGTTAAATCTTTCACAAGAAACAGCAAATCTTACATTATGCAATCAGAATATAGTTTTGTACTTTCACTGAAAATATTTCAAACTGAGGATGGTGTGAGAAGGAAGAGAGGGATCTCTTTCCCATATAATGAACCCTAGCTGCTAACTTAACAATTATTTAAGGCTCTTGAGCTCTATGTTACATCCATTATTAAACATATGGGAACACAGGTGATTGATTAGTGTGGCTGCAAATTTAGAAATCAGTATTCCTAATTACTCTTGGGTATTGTGGTCAGACCCTTGTTATAGTTCAGCCGCTTAGAAAACGGACCTGCGCGCTAATGCTAATGCTAATGCTGGAGGAGGTTGCTTTCTAAGCGGCCGAACTATAGTTCTTTACATCCCTGTATAAATAAAAATAAAAAATATTAATTGTGAATTAAATACAGAATTATTTTACTCAATATACTTTATTAGTTTCTGGTGATGATACATTGTACTCATTCCAGAGTACCAGCATTTTTTGTCGGTGGGCTTGGGTTGCACTGATACTGGATAAACTACCTTGGTTGTTGAATTAATCGTTTATAATAACCCACCTGATGCTGACACTATGCTGCAACATGTCGTCCCACACCGGGGTGACTTGTACCACAACACTGGCGCTGGAGGTAAACTTGCCGTCACTGACAGTGACATTGAGCAGGTAGCGGCCGGTGTCTAGGCCTGGCGCAGCTGACAGCACGCCTCCACGCGGATCGATGGTGAAAAGGCGAGGTGGTGTGGGGGGAGCGAGGCCAAACTCTAGACTGTCATAGGGGTCTTGGTCCGTAGCAGCCACTCGCCCCAGCTCACCCCCTGGCCAGCGTTCCTGGTACACACACACCCACACCTCCAGTGGCGTGACCACCGGCGGAAACTGAGACTCTTCTATCACCTGACATACAACAGTGATTACAGAGTGTGAGAAAAGATGGCACATTATTTCAAAAGTTTCTTAATTTAGACTGACTAAATTTAAGATTGTCTTGAACTTAGATTTTAAGATTTTTTTTATAATGACAGAAGGTATTCACAACATTATTAGAGATCTGGAATTTAATCCTGTCCTCAGCTAAGATGGTAGCAAAAACATGAAGATTAGTATACAAACCCAGCCAAAGGTGGAAAACCACATAGATAATTGTATGGAAATGGTAGGGAAAACTAGAAAATAGCAAATATTACAAATAGAATACACAGTCTGAACTATGTAAGACTCCATATCCATTGACAACTAGGAAATTTGAATTTTACTAATTATTACAGAAAATGTCTGTGCAATAATAAGTATGGTTGAAAATAATGTAAGCTAATGTTACACCATTACTATGAGTAGCCTAGATGGTTTTTGTAAAACTAAACTAGCATAAAAACTTTACACATGCAGTTTGTTGGCTGAGTATATCTACCTTGATGGTGACCCAGGTGTCGGAATACAGTGGAGGTGTGCCGTTGTCAAACACTCTGACGTGGAGAGTGAACGAGTCTTGCAGACGATAGCTGAGTCTGGCAGCCGTGCGGACGGTGCCGTCGGGCTCAATACGAAACACGCCTCCAGGATCTCCGGAGAGGATATCAAATGTGAACGGAGCAGAGTTGGGAGCGATATCTGCATCGGACACTGTCAACTGACAAACTGGCCAGCCGGGCAGCTTGTCCTCCTACAACGATAACCACTGTCAACTGTCTAAAAGTCAAACCGAAACATGCACACAACTTTGTAACTTAGCAGATCTAATGAACTTGCTGTGATAAGGGGCAAGAATGATTTTATGACAGGTTTTCATTGTGTTAGAAAAAGTCACAGCATAAGAATCTAAAATGTCATGGTTAAAAATACTTTTTAAATTTTAATTAAAAACAGAACTCAGAATATGGTTAAATTGTTAATTCCCTATGTACTTATTAAATAATTTTAATTTTTAATTTTTTATATTACAAATATGTTTGAAAAGCTTGATAGGAAAAAGTGAATTTAAATTACATGGAACTTAGCTTGATTTCAGGAGAAATACAATAAATCAGCACCACAAAACCTCCTTCTTCAGAGAATTTATTAAAATCTATAGAATATATTTATACAAACTATTACTGGTTCTGCATACTGTTTCTGTTTACTGTTTCCATTCTTTTGATGTACTAGAAGGAGAGATGCAGCTATGGAGAGGAGGAGCCATAGCTCCCGATAAGTTTCAGTTCAGGACCTCTAATTTCTAGAATTAAAGCACTGCACAAACCTGAACAATTGCTGTGTAGTTGTTCTCCAGAAACAGAGGAGGATTGTCATTGGTATCCAACACTTCAACATTGACAAGAGCAAAGTTAGACAACTGTGGAAGACCAAAGTCAGTAGCTCGGACCTGCAGAACGTAACTGGAAACCTGCAAAACAATCAAGTGTTTTACAAGTGCATTTTGTGGATCCTCAGCTCATCGATATAAATTATTGCCTCCAATTATGTTACTTATAAATAGGTGAATCTAGGAATTTTTAAGAGATTTATAATCCGTAGCAATTATGATGCATACCTATACATCCTTTTATAAAAATTACAAAAAAAAACAAATTACAAAATTGTTTTATTTGTAGGATGGTATTCAATTTGATTAGCTGAAATCTAAAATGCTTTTTAAATATTCAGGTAAATAAAGCATCTTGAACAATGAATCATTTGATTTGTTTGTTTAGTACTACGTTAGCGTTAAGTAATATGGCTGTAGATCCCCAGACAGCACAAGTTCATCCCCAGATATCATGAAGATAAACGTGACAGAATATTAGAATATTCCGGCGAAATCCCTAATTTCCTCCATATCCCTAGAGGTCATTCCAGGGAACTGCTAGGGACATCTAATGTCCGCCTGTATCCCACATTCTGGGATATTTCAGAGGGATATCTTGAGTACTTAACACAGGAAAGTTATAGTGATATCCTTAATGTATCTTTAAAGGGGTATTGCAATATCTTGGGGAAACTAAAACCTCTTCAACATAATTTAAGATTATTCCTAGGCGACTTCTGGGCAGATTAATTAGGCCTCGAGTTGTTCCATAAACTTCAAGAGATATTAACTTTTGATAACCATCCTCTTTCGAGAATGTTCTTCTGAAATCATCCCAGGGAGATATTAGTTTGCAATATCCTAGAGGTATATCCATAGGACAGAATTAAAATTAAAATGTAAGTTAAAATTTAATTACAATTTACAGATTCTTTTAAAATAATCTCTTGACTTGGGTATCTGAGATAAGCTTACACTGCTGTAATGTAAATAAAGTCAATAGTAAATAGTAAAATGATGATTATTAAATGTAAACATGTTTGCAAAAGAAGCACATGTGTTTGCAACTGAATGTAAAGTGATATTATATGCACAAACCATTTCTCGGTCGAGGGGGCGGGCGATAGTTATATGGCCAGTGTTGGGATCCATAGAGAACTGTTGATGACGATCGCCTCTCTCCAATGTGTAGCCTACTTTGCCATTGACACCACTGTCAATGTCTGTAGCAGTAACCTGCACAAGATCACTCAGTCACTAACATCTTACCACTAGCACATCTTACTGTATCATAAATACCCCCGCCGCAGCAAACCTGCCGTCTAAGTGAATTTCCATTTGGCTGAATTGATTTTCAATCGATCTACAAGGCGTTTATAAAAGAATCATCAGGTTTTAATAGCGTGTACCTCACCCAATCCATGTCCCACATTAATATTTGAAACATGTGCTTAACAAGCATGTTTCCAAGTTTTATAATCAGCTGTTCAATAACAAGTCTTGGTTTTTTCTTGAACGTGTTTGCATAATTTTCAAAATGATTAAAATTCCAGAAAAAAACATTTTGTGTTTTTCATTATGACTCAAGTTTATCTTTAATAACTGCCCAGCGTGAGTTTCGGGGGCATTTTAGACAGATTCCTCCTACACAAGAAAGCATTTTAAGGTGGTATCGACAGTTCAAGAACTCTGGAAGTGTATTAAAAAGTAAAATCAGTGGCCGCGCAAGAGTTCTCTTAAAAACTGAGGTAGATTGGCAAATGTAACGATAATGACTTTACCCTTCTCAAATGCCCCCCTAGATCCCCTGATCTTTCGGCGTGTGGTTTTTTTCCATGGGGCTATGTAAAAGACTAAGTTTATATACCGCCAATGCCTCAAACACTTCAAGAACACTGTGGACGAATTCGCAATGCCGTGTAGAATCAATCAACCTAGCGATGCTAGCCAGGGTACAGGACAATTTACAGCATAGATTGATTGGAAACTTGCTCCACGGCTTATGGACGGCACATTGACAAGTTGTAGGGGTATCTATGAAAAATTTAAGAGTTCTCCTTAATGTTGATATGTTTTATAACCGTTTTTGTTTAACATTAGCGTCAATAAAATGTTTTAAAGCCTGATGATTCTTTTATAAACACCCTGTATTTAGATAACATTAGGTTTAACGAGTACCTAGGTTTGCTGCTACAAGGAAACTAATAAAATGTGTATTTTAAGTAAAATAATTATTGCTTAGTAGAAAATGAATATATTTGCCAAGTTTGATCAAAAGATATCCATAAACAAGTAAACTACAACATTTTACAATATTCTCCATAAGAATAACATGGAAATTTTAAATTTACAATTTTTTTAGTTTTCTCCGTAACCAATAACCGTACAAAAACACTTTGATATACTGAATTGTTTGTTTTTTTAAGCTCTTTAAGAAGGTTTAGAGAAAAATTGGGAAATTTTGTGTTTTGAGGGTCAAAAGTGAGAAAAACCAATTTTTACCCCATAAAACCCCCCCATAAAACCCTGTTCCCATGGTCCGATCAAGCTGGATCGCGAACTCATTCAAGTTAATCCCGCCTTACACCTTCAAACCAAATTTCATCAAAATCGGATAAAAATTACTCAAGTTATCGTGTTCACGGACACATAATATATATATAAATCTAAATATATATATATATATATAAAAATTTTAACGAATGTTGTTTTTGGCCTCTGGGGACATCAAAATGAAAAAGTAAATTGGTCCCGGGCCTAAGTCTGACCATGAGACCTACGGTAATAGCTACTTCCCTATAGGGAAATTCGCTAAATGGGATAACAAAAAATACTCATTTTAATATGACATAAATAAGGCTACAAATGTCAGAAACCACACTTTTTCTTTACCTCCTTTGTATAGTTAAATAGGTAGCTTACAATAAATAACCTCACATTCAGATACCAAGGAACTATACCCTTGCCTGAACTAAAAATATAAGAACAATCAGAAGATAATTGAATATGTCACTTTACCTGGAGGACGACATCTCCGATCTGTGAGTGTTCGTTGATCTGAGCGTTGTACGACAGTTGAGTAAACACAGGAGGGTTGTCGTTGCTGTCAGTCACTGAGATATTGACAGTGGCTTGGGAGCTGAGAGGAGGGACACCGAGGTCTGTGGCCACCACTGTCAACATGTAGTTGTGGGCTCTCTCGTAGTCTAGAGGCTCTACGATGCTGATCACTCCTGCAGAATAAAATAACAAGGTCTAAATATTTTTATTTTTAAGATAGTTTTTTACAATAATAGAATGAAAAATAAATAATTTCTTAACCTGTATCTTATTTACTTGATTTCCTTGAAATGATAAGATGCACGTTTTTAAACTCAATACCAATTATTTAAAAACGGCAAATCTTAATTAAAAGTTACATTATGGTTAAACCACCTGTTCTATTCAAGGAAATATAATAGTGACCTGCTATAATACACGGAATATTTTACTAAATGAGATTTCTCAACGTTTTACAATAAACTGTTACATAAACACCAAAGCAATAGCAATTTCATATAGTTTTCTCCATTAGATTCAAGATCTTATATAGATAATATTGAGTACGATAACACTGTATCGCCAGCAAAACCCATAATACTACCCATCAAAGGACCATTGTACAGTTGGGACATATACCAAAAACAATATTGGCCCAAGAACAGAATCTTGAAGTACTCCAAACTTTATTTGTTAACCAGAACATTTTATAGAACCTGAAGAAACATATTGTCCAAGAGAAACATTACATGCAGTGCACACTAGTACAGGACCAATTAAAATAATTGTGAAGCACATCTAATCATGTTTAAATGTTTTTTGTTCAGATACAGTCTACTAATGATTGAGTTTGAACTCAGATTGGGGCAATAAACATAAGAACATTATAGGAATTCATAATTTACAATGAAAAAATTAAATATTTGTACGATATAAACACAGAGATACAATTAACATTATTTTCAAAATATAACATGGAAATACAGTCAGCGGCAGTGGGATATTCTGTGGAGTTGGTTGTCGATTGGATAAGGGGGTTCTACTGTTTTGCAATTCATTGTAAAGACCCATTTATTCTACTTATTTCAATCTTTGTAATAGAAGACAACAAAGAGGGAAAGGTGTTTAAAACATGTAAAAAAACATAAAATATTATAAAATAATTTAAAATTAAAATAATTTACAAATATTATCAAATCATTATTGAAAAGTCTAGTCAACTAACCTGTCTTGGTATCCATTGAAAACTTGCCATGCTCGTTGCCACCCAAGATTGAATATTCTACTTGTGCGTTGATCCCTGTATCTAGAGAAGTGGCCATGACTCGTGCCACCTCTGTGTCCACTGAAGCACTCTCGGGAATAGTAGTCTGGTATGAGCGGGACACAAACTGAAAAAAAGTTATAGCACAGTATAGAAAGTGTTAAAATGTTTAGAGTTAATTAAATGGAAACTAAACTTGTAAAACCACTTTGAATGGTGCGTCTTCAAACTAACTTGGATCCAGAGTTAATAAAAAATAATAATAAATGCTTGATAGCAAAGAATTGGAGAAATCAGTTAATCCATACACTGGACCTAGCCTTTGAAACAATACGTTTTTTTGAGTCACAATCATTCATTGTAGTAAAGTTTACTTAACCATTTTCTTAATTACTTTACAAAATAAGTTTATAGTACTATGAGTTGTCTATCTGAGTCAACTAACCTGAGGAGGGTTATCATTGACGTCAAGGACATTGACCCGAAGTGTGGTCTCTCTAGAGAGCTGTGGAGAGCCTTGGTCTACGGCTTTGACTCTCAGAGTGTACGAACTGACAGTCTCACGGTCCAAACCTTCCAGCAGCCTCACCAGACCACTCTCTGCTGTTATCTCAAACATTCCTTCAGCTGAGTCCTCCAGGTAGTAGCGCACCTTGCGGTTGATACCTGCCAACAGGCACACAAATTTATATTGAATATCAATACAGAATACTTATAGTATTTAGTAACAAACAAATATACATAAACCCACCTTGAAGTTACATAAATAAATTATGGGGGCTAGTTACCCATAAGCACCAAGGAAGTATCTGCCATGAGGGATGCCAGTATTCCATGAGCTTTGGTGAAGTTGTTCACTTACCACTAAGTTCAATCATCTAAAATGTGCTATATTTAACTATCTGCCAACATTATTCAAATTAACTACTGTAGTACAATAAAAACATCAACTTTGTCCCCTATACAATGGTACAAATATTTCTCCACACGCACAATACATCACCCTCCTCCAGCCACTGTACTGTGCTCTTGTTGTTGGGTGGGCTGGCTGGGAAGAGGGTGTCCCACGTGCAGTCAAAGTGTTATCCAGAACATTGAAACTTTTACTTTAACATTAACCCATATTTTGGCAAAACCAATGAAATATAAAAAAATTTAAAATATTCATGACTTTACCCCTGTCAGGGTCAGTAGCATGCATCTTGGTGATGAGAGTTCCGACAGGAGAATCTTCGGGCAACGCGGCCGTGTGATTGGCCGTGGAGAAGCTCGGAGGGTTGTCGTTGACGTCGGACAGTATAATGTCAATGTGAGACACACACTCCCAGTCAGGTCTCTCTCTGTCCTGGACATGAGCTGCCAGAGAGTAGCGAGGCAGAGTCTCCCTGTCCAGGAGTCTGCTGGTCCGAAGCTCACCTGCAGGCAAATAAACTCTTTCAGCACTCACTTTATTAAATCAACTCGATTTTTGTTTCCACAACAAACGCTTAGTTCTTAGGGGTGAAACTCATTTGAATTAACTTTTAAAAGTGCAAGTAATGGTGGTTTTTTTGGTTCTGTGAAGACAAGGAGTAGTTTTCCAACAACAATTTTTTTTTTTTTGGTACAATATTTTACACAAAAACATCCCTCCAAAACGAACTCTCTCTAAATGACAAAATTAATTAAAATAAATTTGACACTTTCCTGCGAGGTGAACCAGAATTATGGACAGTAATTATTTTTATGTCCTACTTTACATTCTTGGACGTAGGATCTAGTCCAGAACTGTTTACACATTACTTCAGGCTAGGCCGCAAGGTGCGGCATTATCAATAGATACAATCCATTGGTGATGGGCAGGATTTGAATCCGGCTAATTAAACAATAATTTTAAGTATAGTACTTTCTTATCAAAGTTCTCATTATTTATTAATTGGGTTATTTAAGAATAAATTACTTTACTTTTCAAATTTAAACCTAGCAGAAAAGACACAGTTAAATTTCCTTAATCCCATCTCAACTTGAACAAGTTGTAACTTACCGCTATCCCTGTCAAGGTTAAAATGTTCGGCTCCGTCACCAGTCAGGTAATACTTGAGTCTAGGGTCCAAATCTCCGTCAGTAGCCAAGACAGTGAGGACGAAGCTGCCAGGCTCGGCTCCTTCTGAAAGTCTCTCTCTGTAGCGAGCTCGTTGACAATGCGGCTGTTCATCTAAACAACACAATCAGTTATTGAACCAACAACCAACATTACCAAAAGACAGCTGAACTAAAGTTATGCATAACACGTGTTATGTTTACTATTATTATGTTTATTAATATCAAGGGGTTATTTAATTAATTTGGTTTATGGTCTGTTAAATTACGATTCTGAAGACAAATGTTGACATAATTCAAATGAGGCAGTTTCCTGCACTTAATATTAGGCGAGTGCCGAGTACTCAACCTTTAAGTAGTAAGAGTACCTTAAAGTATAAGAGTACCTACTAAGTGAAGGGGTTTCTTATGCCTGTTATTTTAGTGTGCAGTTAATTTAGCCACCTAACTTGAACGGTGCCAGCAACTATAAGTTGTCTATGTATTTAAAGTTGTATAAAACAATTAAACAAATATTTGTATTGAAAAACAGTATGAACCAATTTTGTATACCCAAAACTGTTTCATAAATACTTGTATGTAATCAGTTCAGCTTTTGAATTATTGCACATTATTAATCTTAAACCAAAACATGATACTGGCACAAGGAAAGCTGCAATGAGTCTAAAATAACTACCCCACCTTATCAATTGTCTTATATTGCTTCTACATGAAGTTCATTGTTGGTACGGTATTAGATGAAAAATCCATCACACATTTTGAATTTAGTGGCACAAAAGTATACAGCATATAAGAACCAATGATGATTTCAATTTGACTAATGAAGAAAAATAATTATCTAACAAAAGTTAACATGGCTGTATCCTTGAGTAGTTGTATTCAATACTCTACTTAACACTACTCACCATTTGCATCAAGCACAGTGATGAACACCCGAGTAGTAGACACAAACTTGGTGTCGGTGGCTTGTACAGTGAGGCTATACTTCTCCTGGGTTTCACGGTCCAATGGTCGAGTCACATACACCTGGCCTGTGGCTCGTACTCCAAACTGAGCTTTGGAGTCACCCTCTGTGATGTAGTACTCCACATTGGAGCTCAACTCTGTGTCCAAGTCACTGACTGACAGCTGAGCCACCACTGTTCCTGCCAATGCATCTTCCTTCACTGCAACACATTCCACATTCATTAGAATTGGTCAGCAACAAGAAGTGATGTCACACGTAGGAAAAAAACTAACAGTACCTAACTGTTTATTAATTGTTATTACATTTTACTAGTTTGGTTTTTATTAACTGTGTTGTTCTGATCTTTTGAAAAAATAATGTTGTTATACATATATCATGATGTTATCATTACTGTAATACTAATAGTGTATGTAATAGTGGATGAAATAGTATAGGGTCTTAATGAGGGAAAAGTTCATTGCACGGATTACTGATTTTTGGGAAAATTTATATATAAAGCTAGCAAGAATCACAGACTTTTGAGAATAAAACGGTAAACTGCACACCTGCATCAACTGAATTCTTGAATGAAAGGTCTTGATGTGAAACATCCCCAAAAAATATCAGTTTTTTGATAAACCCTCTCCCATGGACACAAACCTCAACTAAACATCTGTTGTTTAATATATCACTCCAGAATATTGAAATTTAAAATACTTAACATATACATCAGTTGTGTGATTTGTTTTAGTTTGTTGGTTTACTTTTCCTTGAGTTAACCTTTTGATTCTACCATAGATTTCTATATTGCATCAGGAGAAGTTACAGTACGTTTTTCTTATAATGTGGGATGCTGTTCAAACCTTTGAATTATGTTTCAATTATGTACCTATTAGTTCAGTATTATTTAATTTAAAAACCCAGCAAATGACGTTGCAGACAGATGATGTGTATATAATTAAGTAACACAAGAACTATAGAGTTTGGACGGAGCCTTATGTCCTCCAACTGGGAAAAAACGCATATGTAGACTGTAGAGTATTTTGCTTTGTGACATGGACAATTATAAAATTAATTTACAAATAAGAACAAGCGCTCAATCAACCAGGAGTTTGCATTGAACAAGGCGGTGAATAATCACCATTTTCTGTGTTCTCTTCCCGTGGCTAGGCACAGGCAGAACAACTAGTATGATTTAACCCTCCGAGTGTTATGTGTCATAAAATCGACACATAACACACTTTGTGTAGTGTATTGTGTCGATTTTTCGACTCACAAACACTGTTTACGGCGAAGGCTCTATGACTGACAAAATCGGATTGAACTGGATCGAGTTAGGTATCGTTTTATTTGGCAGATTCTAAGCTTTCTCCCGAGGTCTGTCTCTAAGCGCTTTTTTTTCTCGAGCCGATCATAATTGTAGCAGACAGCTGACGTACATAATTGTAAACAGCTTGGTTAACCTCGCACCGATGACTGATGTGTTTTATTACGTTTATCATTGTTTTAGTGTTAAAAATCAAAAGTAGTGATATACGTGGTGCATTATAAGAAGATTTAAGTGATATTGAAGGGCTGGTTGATGATCCTGAAGAAGTAGGTAGTGATATTGATGTAAATTATCAGCCAGATTCCTAGCTATGGTTAGGCTATGCATTCTTAGCTAAACACTATGTACCGAAATCTGTTTTTTGCCCATAACTTATTTATTTGCAAATCTACTTCCTTATATTATTATTTTTTTGGAATCCTCATAAAATTCTGAACAAAGTGGCTATTTTAAAATATTTGTAGACCTATAAATTATAACAATTTATTGAGCGCAAACATAAATTTTTTTCATTTATTTTATAATTTTTGAGAAATGTTAACCCCACAAAAATTGTTGAACATTTTTTTGTAATGTTTTATATGTTACATTGAAGCCCATAATTTTCCACACAAAATGATATATAAACAGCATACTTTACATTATTTTTAAGTTTCTAAGATACATTTTAATAAAACCCTGCGATTGCGCAATAAATGGGCGAACATTAAGACCAAAACTAGAGACACTTGGAAGGTTAAAGCTATTTACCCAATGGGACAATGTTTGAGCATAATCTTCGATGGTATAAATATCACTGAAATCTTACAAATCTTAAGATATTCCAGGACGAATGAGAATAAACTTGAAAATTCTTATTTAAAAAAATTAGGTTTCTTTCTGATTAAATTAGTTACAAACAGCTTTTAATAATTGTGTTCGTCTACCTATCTATATTTTTCAAATTACGTCATCAAATAAAAGGTTTCTTTTTAAATTTTTGGATTACAAGATTCCCAAGCTTTAGGTAGGATGATCATTGTAGATTCTTGAAAAAAAATCAAAGGTTACGGTTCCAAAAAAGTTAAAGGAGGTATTTCAAATGAATATTTACCTGAGGCACTGTATGATTCCTCAGCGAACACTGGAGGGTTGTCGTTGTAGTCAATGAGTCTGATGTAGACCTCAGCTGAGGCAGTTTGCTGCGGTGAGCCGTTGTCTGTCGCCACAACAGTGACAACATACGATGATACAGTCTCTCTGTCTAGAGGCACCAGGGTAGTGATCCATCCGGAGTATGGATCTACAGCAAACACATCACCCGAGCCACCCATCGAGTAACGCACCTCTCCGTTACTGCCCTCGTCACGGTCTGAGGCATGCACTGCGCAGAACAAACACAATCAGGTTAGTTTCATCACTTAAGTTCCATTTCAGCAACCTAATATACAATATGCTTGCAAAAGAAAATTATAAATTTAAGATAGCATTACAAAAATTGTACCAAAGCTATGTCAGAAATAACGAGAATAAATAAAAAAAAAATGTTGTCACAACAAAGACCAATCTACAGAAAGTTGAGTTTTTTAGTAATGAACAATTAGTACCTAAGTTTTTTTCTACTTCCAAGAGACTTAAAAAAAAAACACCATCTCTGAACTATACAGTCATGTATACTATAGCTAGCAAAAATCTAGGTTTCTTTGCACATGGACAATTTGTACAAGTGTGTGTGAACACGAAATACCTTTGAAAACAGAAGTTCCTTCAGGGACATTTTCTGGTATTCCAATGTGGTAAGTGTCACTGTCAAAGACAGGAGCGTTGTCATTAGTGTCCAGAACTTGGAGAACTATCTCAGTAAGGGCAGTGAGTGGAGGGCTGGACTCAGTGAGCGCCAGGACAGCCAGGGAGTGAGATTTAGTGACCTCTCTGTCTAGAGTACCCATCAGCATTACTTTGCCCCCGGAGTCTACGAGGAACGAGGGTCCGCCACTGATCAACTTGTATTGCACGGGCATGTCAGCAACCAGCTGCAGCTGGGTTATCACGCTTCCTGCAACGGAACAAGAAATAGTATCAACCAAATCATAACTCTTCACCTGTTAATATTTTTATTTTAATTTTTTACTGACCTTGTTTCGCATGCGCAGGAGAATATCTTAAAACAATTTCTAAATACAAAGCAAAGCGTACACGTGGGATAGAGCTGAAAATGGCGCCATTCAGATCACCAATGATGCCATTAAGCGGCAAGACACCTCTTTGCAGTGTACTTGCGAACTACAGAGCTATATGCAGAAATGGCCCTTACTTAAAAAAGGCTCCTCACACAATGATGTAGTTTGTTTTGTATTTTTAAGGATACAGAACAAGGGACAAATTGTTCTGCAAAATACCCTGTTTTAAATTAATGTGAACCAAAGTAGCCTTATAACTATTTATTAATTAATATATACAAATCTAAAAAAAGGCCAAGCCGATATTTTAAAGAAAATATATTTCAATACAACAACAACAAACCTGAAGGAGCATTCTCTGGCAAGAAGAACTTGTGGTCGCTCCTCTGGAAGAGCGGAGGAACGTCTCCGGCAGACATGATGTAGACTTGGACAGGGACATCTGTGTGTAGTGGAGGAACTCCAGTATCCGTGGCACGCACAAAGAATTGGAACACCTGGTTTTCTAAAGTAAAAAGGAACAGACAGTAAACATCCATTTTCCTCTTTCTGAATGTATTGAATTCTATACTATTTTTAGCTTTTTACGCTCCTTGTTGTCGGTATCCTAGATTTAAGCTGCAAGACTAACACAATCAGTTAAAACTGATGATTATTGAAATACTGTGATTGGTTACGCTATGACAAGTGTTTAGCTCTTGTCATTCCTTATAATTTTAAAGCTGTCTCTTCAACTACAAGGAGACAGTGATTAGATGAGCAAACCAAATAGAACAGTAAATAGGCCTAAGGGGTTTTATTCATAAAATCTATAAAAATATTTTATAGTTTATATATATTTATTATTCTCAAACTAGCCTTAAAAGGACAACCATAAATATTGTTTTATTAACTTTATTTTTTACTGTGATATGACATGTATTTTAGTCATTAAATAATGATGTAAAAATGACAAATAACCACTGGTAATCAATGTTAGTTTTGCACTATCGAGTAAGCTCACTCACATTTTTTGTGAGCAAATTAATATAATTGAAAATATATGAAAATGTAAAGAAACTTGTTAAAACAACAATAGTACCAATACTCATTAAACTTTTTTTATTTTGTTTGTATTACCATAAGGCACAGCTGACTTGAGCAGGAAGAGTGCACCACTTTGAGGGTGGATGGAGAACAACTGCTTAACTCCACTAGACTGAGTCTCATACACTGAGAATTGTATTGTGGCAGAAGGGCCTTCGTCCGCATCAACAGCTCGCACCTTTAACATGATTGACACTCATCAACAACAGAGGTTACATTAACATTATACAATCTTGGTCACTTCTGGGGCAAACCTCCCTGTGCAGGTTACATCAGTAATGATTGTGAATGAGTTTAAATATGTATTTTCTTTACAATATTCTCAATTTATCAATCTAAATTGACTCTAACAAGATCGGATGAGCGAAAAAGTAGGCTAACACAGGAAAAAAATAAAACCATTGTACTAATGTTACTAAAAACTGTACAGTATTTAAACAATGAAAATAAAAAATAAAAAGTTGAGTTGATGCACTTTTCTTCCTTTGAAGACACAATCAATGATTCAAATCAAAATCAAACCACACAAAAATTAACATCAATGTAAAAGCACTAGGCTACTACAGAAAAAGTACAATGTGAAATAACTTTTGGTTCAACCACAGGTTTTTATTTGCACCAAGACATGAGGGCTAGTTTGTATTCTGCATTACCGACATATGCAGTGTATTATAAATGACGTAAGGACATAAAGACTAAAGACAGGAGTTGGTTTAATATAACCATCAGTCCATTTTGAAAGTATGATAAAATACACTTTGGTCTCAAAACGTCAATCATGTAACAATAATTTACAGGAAATAAAGCTATTCATTTATTCATGTATCTTCCATACAGTAGTGCAGCATAAGGTAAGGGGTCGTCTTGTCACATACATTACAAAGTGAAAGTAATCAAAGATTGGATAGTCAAGACTCTGCTGTACATAATTTTTTTCTGCAACTAACATTGCATCCCAAGATTTAGATTCCATGATAACTTGGTTTGCACAAAACGGACTACATCTAAACTGTTCCAAAACTCATCTTCTTCATTTCCATAATCCACAACTGAAGGCAGGTGAGATAACAATCAAACTAAAATCAGGTGATTCCATAAAATCTTCTGCAAATACTAAATTCCTGGGTGTAAACATAAATGAAAATCTAAAATGGTCTGATCATCAAATACAAATTATCTTGTCTCTAGCAAAAGCACTGTTTGGTCTAAGGGTGGTTTATAAGTCTTCGGGTTTGCATGCAGCTCTTGCTGTGTATCATTCTTATTTTATGTCTAGGTCTTCCTATGGTATTATCTCATGGGGCAGCTCCCCCATTACCAAGAATATTTTTATCTTACAAAAAATTGCCGTTAGAATTTTAGCTGATACCAGACCACGTTCCTCTTGCCGCCCCCTTTTTATTCAGATGAAACTCTTGACAATTTATGCAGTTTATATTTTTCAACTGTGCATCTTTGTAAAAAGAAATTATAAGGAATTTATGTTGAAAAATTACACTCATCAATATAACACCCGACACAGGAATGATCTTCAATATCCTGTGCATAGAACAGCTCTGTATGAAGGATCGCCATGGTACATGGGTAGGAAAATTTACAATAACCTCCCAGATCAAATTAAAACTGAAGAAAATATGTCATCCTTTAAAAGAAAACTAAAATCTTATCTCATTCTCTTGTGTCCTTATTCCCTAGATGATTTTATAAAAACTTAGCTTTAAATTTTATGGATTGATAAAAACAAAGAATTTAGCATAAGGTATTATTAGATTGTAAAGTGGTATTGACATGTCATATGTTTATATGTGAAAATCACAATCTTGTAAACTTATGTGACGAATAAACATTTCATTTCATTTCATTTCATTTCATTTCATTTCATTTCATAGAATCATACATAAAACAGAAATATAGAAAACTTTACCTTGAGGAAAGCGGAGTGAACTGTCAGGTTAGCATGGATGCAAGCTTTGTACTCGGCCTGTAGGAACTGAGGTGGGTTGTCGTTGGTGTCAACTACTGACAGTCGGACAGTCGTCAGGCCAGACTTGCCTCCCCCATCCACCACCATCACAGGAATCTCATACAGAGACTGTTGTTCTCTATCCAACGATCTCTTAGTCCAGATTTCTCCTTCAAAAGGTAAGGAACAAAAATTACAAACTTTTGGTAAAATTTATATAAAATGTAAAATCTAGTACCAAAAAACTTTTGACCAAATAGAAACGTATAAAAAAGGTGTCAATTTAAATTCACTAATTTATAAATAATCTTGTTTATTTGCACAAATTGTTGAAACAATTAACTGTAAAGAAGATACTGTAAAGACTTTGGTCTTTTAGGTAAAAAAAGTAGTCATACTGACTGACACATCAAAGACTTTCTGTAAACAAAACCATCGTGTTTGAGGGAAGTTTGTTACTTGTTCATTACTTCACTGATCAAATGTCCATTATTTTCATAATAAAAATGTTTATATATATCATATATTGAAAATTAAATTAAATTTTCAACCTAAAATTACACACTGTAATGAGTTTGCATAGTATAAAATCAAAAATATAAGGAATTTATACTAATTTAAAAAAGTAATGTTTTGGTTACCTGTGATGTTGTTGATGCTAAAGGTCTGCAGCAGTAGCTGGGAAGGTATGGAGTAGGTGAGCATGCCGTAGGTGCCGCTGTCCATGTCCGTGGCGGTGACTGTGGCTACTGGTCGTCCGATTGGCTGGTTCTCTGTGACTCGTGCGTCGTACTGTGGGCGGCCCATGACAGGACTATGACGGTTGGCCGACACCATCTCCACCCTCACACGACAGAAGCTTGTGTACACTCCGTCGGAGACTGATATGTTCAACGTGTGAGTCTGCAGCTCCGTCAACTTGTGCAGGTTCACAACTGTCAGAATACCTGCAAACAAATACTCCAACATAAGCCAAGATGCATTGGGTGGTTGTTTGAATAGCCAAGTGGTTTTAGTGCTTGCCTTAAAATTTGAAAGTTGCTGTTTTAATTTTAAGCAGTCGGACTTCGATGCAATTAAAATGTTGGCATTAGACAGTAACCAGACCAGGTTTGAACTGTTTTCTAACAAAAAACCATTTTAAATGCCAATGATATACATCCACACACCATGACCTCGATGTTGCAACTAAACTACGGTACTAATTTATGTTTGAATGTAAAATACATTTTTGTAAATGTAGCCTTGCTATTTTCACTAGTACAGTTATGGAAGATATAATTCAAAACAAATTATCTTTCAAAGCGATCACTTTGAGACAGAGTCATCAAGCAATAAAATGTTTTGCAGCTACACATTGATTTTTAACACATGACTTAATCTTTAAAGATAGCGACACTTGCTGTGTACGTAACTTAAAGTTAATTTGAATAGTGAGTGTTTCTTTAGTCAGAATCATTCATCCAATTCAATTCTTTGAGACAGTGACTCATACCAAGGTCCCACTAGAAAAAAAGGCCATGCGGCAGGACGGGCAGCGCAACACTACGTCACAGTGGTGGATAGTTGTACTAAACTCTTACCATTAAAATCTTACAAAGAGCCAGCTTGCTTATTTACCTAAAACATATGGGAATGACAACGGAAATTAATTTATCAATGAATCTATCCACTAGTGTGACGTCATGGATCCAGCAGCATGGCCTGTTTTTCTAGTGGGGCCTTGTTCATACTGAGGTGCCTATTTTCCTATACTCTTTTATGAACTATGTTTCATTGTATGTATGTACGCTTGCACAAAAATCTCAAAAACGGTTTTGACGATTTCCTTCAAATGTCGTAAATAATTTAATTTCTGTCCCAAAACGTGTTTCATGCAGTTAAAACTGCCAACAAAAATCAAATTACGTAAAAAAATGAAATTGAAAGTCAACGTTTTTTAACAGTCTTTATGGGTTACTACTTTTACTTTGGCAACGAAATAACAAAAATGGTAAACATCAACTAAGGAAAATAAATAAATACAACAGCTGATAATAAACAATCCTTAAAACAAAAAAGGTTTTTAATTATTTATGACTGGAGGACGGTGAGATGGTATCCTTACAACTGCAGTTAGCGCGTAATATTAAACCGAAGGCACTGTTGATTTTATTGGGTTGGAAAGCCGAGCAACACTCGGTCCTCCTGGTACTAAAGCTGAATATGAATGCACAAGTGTAGAATGCATGTGGGATAATCAGTGTAGCTCGTTACTGACTAAGATCAGCTGTTCTTCAGCAAGGATCATTTATACAAGTTCAATGATCAAGGACAGCTGGGTCTAGTTTCCCGGCATCAAAAAGATACTGAATTTTCTTAGGCTTAAACCCACGACCTTCTGATCTTTAGCCAATCACTCAGTGATCCAGCTATTCACTACAATTTTATTTTTCTACATCTAAACATTTTTTAACAGTTTTTAATAGATTTGTCTACAAGTACGTAGTACTAGAAAAATATTAAATGAAATATTACCACCGCATTCATATACAGGTCGATGAACTTGTTTAGAAGAACTATCACTTATAGAGGGAAAACAGCAGATTTTTTAATGTAGTTAACAGGCAAGCAAGTCATTTTGTTTTGTCTCCTTTGCAATAACCTCTAAGTTAAATGTACCGTTGTCAGGATCGATGTGGAAGGTGTGGTGTTGGTTGCCGGCTGCAATACTGTATGTGAGAGGACCTGTGTCGGGGTCACTGGCTGTGACCAGGGTCACCAGTTGACCTCTAGTGGCCTCTTCAGACAGCCAACATGTGTACGATGGCTGCTCAAACTTTGGCGCGTTGTCGTTCATGTCAATAACTGGCCAAACAAACATATCAGTGAAAATGTACAAAACATGTACTTTAAAAAATCAAGAGTAGGAATAGCACTCCAAGCATTGATCCTATTGATATTTTGAACTATAAGACAAAAAAATAATGTAATTCTTCTTACTTCAAGGTTTTTTATCATACCATCGCGCTTACTGTTTCAAATACTCTCAGCTGTGATAAAAACTGGCGGTTACCAGATGGTGTGTGTAAACTGTAATGGTAAAACTTGAAAAAGTACCAGTGATGTAAAGAGTGTTTACAAACATTTAAATTTAAACATGGTTGATTCAAATAATATTCCCAAATCTATATAAAAAAAGCAAATGAACTGTCGTCACAGTTGCAATACACTTCTTTTACACTAAAACCTCTGATGAAAATTAGCACAGATAATAATGTAGCCACACTGTAAACCTTACTTAGATTCGGGCAAGCAGAACGCAAACAACTTGTTTTTCCAGTTACAACTAATGTGTCACCTGAATCTCAATACTGATAGGCACGGAGTAAGCGTTTAAAAAAAAATGTCTGAAACGCCGTTAAACAGCGATTGGGCACCGAGCGCACACATCAGAACGCCGTTTGCGCAAGGCAGTCCTAGGGTTTTAAGTTTGTGTAACTAGCTTGATATATATAACTGTTGCTGCTGTGTAGGCCTACCTGTGATCCACACATGGACAGAGGTAGAGAGGCTAGGGGTGCCCGAGTCTCTTGCTACGATGACCAGGTGATGGAGGCTACGCAGCTCATGGTCCAGTGATCTCTTGAGGTACACAGAACCCTCGTCCGGGTCTATGTGGAAATAATCTGACGCATTGCCAGAGCTCGGGTCCAGAGAGTAGCGGACAACTCCATTAACACCTGAACATGCATGAACTGAGAAACTGACAGGTAGCCATAAAATACACTTTCTGTTACGGCCCCATCTTAATTGGATTGGTAGAAGTCTACAGTAATAAAAATGAAAAATATTTTTTGAAATGTTCACTCAATAAGATGAATAAAACTAATTACTTGATGAAAAAGTGTATACTGGTAATCCTTGCCATAAGTTAGTGTCATGCAATATAGCTGATGATTACACATAGTCTGCTGCTGTCAGTGAAATATTGGTTTTACAACTCCTTCAGAGAAATTAAGCTTTTTACTTTTGTTATTTTGATACTGTACAAAAACTATAAAGTTAAAGTGATGAGGTTTTTTTGTCGACTAAACAGGGGTGTACTTACAAAAAAGCATTTTTGTGAATCGTGTACGCAAAATAGCACAAACCAGACTGACTACACAGAGAACTTACCTGTATTACTTTACAAAGATCAGCTACAAAGTATTTTTAAAACTAAATTACAAATGGAAAACTTAATTTTCCATAACCAGACTGAATTTAATATTCAATACCGGTAAGTGAACATAATTGTATTTACAAACTCTATCCTCTCCAATACCTGTATCATTGTCAGTGGCGGAGACAGTGAGTACAAGTGAGCCGAAGGGAGCAGCCTCGGAGACAGAGACATTGTAAGAGTCAGTCGGGAACTCAGGAGGGCAGTCGTTGACATCAGTGACCAGTACACTAACTAACACTTCAGCAAACACAGCTGTGACGGAATCTGTAGCACGCAGAGTCAGAGCGTACTGAGTCGTGCTCTCGTAGTCCAACTCATCAGCAACATATAGAACACCTGGATGGAGACGTGATTCATATCAATACTTCAGTAGACTTGCAATTATTAGATCGATGTTATCAAAAATATACTATAAAATCTTAGTCTTCAAGGAATGAGCGTGTTAAACTGCCAGAGATACAGCTTTACAGTTAAATTTTAGTTTGCCTTGAAAATGAATTGCTGCTACATACTGTATTTGTAACTTCTGCTACTATCTATGTCAATTCAACAACACTCTTTCCACCAGAAGACCAAAAATTCCAAAAATTACTAAAACTCAAAAAAGTACCAATATGCTTGAAAACATCTATATGAAATCCTCTAAAAATCTAGAAAATCTTATCAGATGTTTCACCGTTACATTTAAGATTTAGTCTGAATTATTTAAAAAGGTAGAACATGAACAAGATTATTTTCAAACATTTTGTACATCATCTAATAAAACTTTGACAAATACTGTAAATAAAAAACACATCATAAAAAAATAGTTTTTGTTGAATGAATGTATTTGTACAACCACATAGAAATTGTTCGCAGATATGAGTTTAAAAAGGAAAAATGGATTATTTACCTACTGTACCATAATTTATTAAATATAAAAAAGGTTGAATTTTACCTTATGAATTTTACTTTGGACAAACTACCTCCAAGAAATGATATTCATAGCCGGATTTAAAATACTTGCGGCCCTAGGCCAAATCACACCAAGCGGGCCCCCATTACTAAGGTTTCAATTTCCCTAATAGTGGTGAAACCGTTTACATCTCTCACGATTGAGAGACATCAATATTGACTACGGTGAAATTGTGAATATATAGACGGCAAGACAAGATCCCATGACATCATCCTAGTCAGCAGTAATTACGGAGAAATTGTAAATATCTCCGCTGAATCAAGGGAACGCGGGAGGTCGTCAACTGCGACCGTGGCGAAATCACGAACATCCCCCTTAGGCCACAACCACGATGACATCATCGTCATCACCCGTGATCGCGGAGAATCATGAAAATCTCTCCTAAATAAAGGTAATATCATTATCATCATCTGCCACCAAGGCAATATCATCGGGCCGCGATCACGGGGACATCATCTTAAACACCTACGATCATAGACACCTAAAATCATTGACACCAGTGACCATGGCGAAATTGTGAACAATTCCTGTGGGCCGCAATCATAGGATACCATTATGGTTACCAACAATCGCAAGAAATTAATGATGAAAAAAATTTTAATTTAATTTTTGTACTGAAATATTTTTGTATACGCTGTGAGAGCTTGTGGTAAATCCAGCACTGTTCATAGCACTATTACATATCAAATTATATATTATAAAGTTAAAATATTAGTTCACACATCTTTATACGTTAACAGAACAACTTAACAATAATTAGAACATCAATTATGATCATAAAAAAAATTAAATTAAATTAACAAACACTGAAGTAGGTCTAGTGCAGAATATATTTTTTGTCATACTGCAGCAAAAATACTAAAAATAGCTATTTTAATTCATGCGTTGCGGGTCCAAAGTACAGTAGCTCTTTTTCTCCCTCCTTAGGGAGTAAAAATTAGCTGTTGTTAACTTCGATTGAGTGATGAAATATACTCAACTATAAACAATAATGTTACAAAATAAATACAAAAATGACTTAGTAAAAATAAAAATAGGAACAGTTTTCACAACATAACCCATGCAATGTCGCTTTTTGACACAATTTTAAATTGTAGATAGGGAAAATGCTGCATTTAAGAGTGTGTTACAAACATTTAGTGAAATTCGTCTATGTTGAATGAATGACCGAATATCCAAGCAAACACTTAAAACCATCATGCTACCTGAGATGTAAATTTTTACAGTAAAAAATTTAATTTCCTAATGACCTACCTAGAGTTGATTAAAAATGCAACAGAATTTTACAAAGATAAATAGAAAAAAACTAAATAGATGAATTAGATAAAATTTTCTTTAAATAATTAAAAATATTTAAAAATTAAATCTGTACAGTTGTTGTGAGATTTAAAGTAGTTTAAGTAGGTACCTAACCAAAACATGGTAATGTATAATTTTAATTTTAATATACCTATATGTGTTTTATAAGGTGTACTGTAATATGATTTCATTGCCTTGATACTACTATCACTAACAGTTTGAACTCTAGTATCTATGGGAAGGAATATCCAATTTGATTATCTATGTTATGCTTTTATTTGACTACATTGATTCAAAATAATTTGATAATCTTTCCCAATAAATATTTCCAGTTGAAGTACCCATAACCATTGACTTTAACTTTGTCCTTGCTAGTGTGGTCTATTTTGTGGATCTAATGGTTGCTACAAAAGCCCATTTTTGTACAAGATATTTCTATCGACCTTTCCCACTGATCTAAAACTCAAGCAAAAAGAAGCATATCTGAATATAGAAATGGCACTACAGCACCGTTCCCTTTCAAAACGTTAAAAATGCCATTGGCGTAGATAACACACAAAAAAACTTACAAAATAAAATAAATTCCGCGCAAAAATATTTTTTTTTATAATGAGAATATTCACAAATTATATTAATCCTTACACGAGATAAATCATAATTATATGGGATGAGTTGAAATAAATTAGTAAATTCCAAATTACTCATTTTAAGAGGTAACCTAATCCCTAATCCCAACAATATAAAAGATATTTTAGTAAATATATTTATATAAATTTTTTTTTAATTCACCCAAACACAAAAACGTAGTACACATACTTATTATAGACGCTCATATTTAATTAGTACACCTCGTAAACTAAAAAGTGCAAGGTGCAATTCTAAACCGTCTAACAAGCACACACAAGCACACAAAGCAAGCAGTACCGTGCGGCGAGGTACTTACAGGGACCACTGTTAGTATCAGGCGCTGTGAACCAACAACAGAACTTACTAACAAAACACAACTCAAATGCTTAATAATGTCAAAGTTATAACTACTTGGATAAAATAAACTAATAGGTATTATAAGTGAGTCATGTATGAACGTGAAAAACAATGACACTGCTGGCCAAACTCCAATTTTTTTTTTTTTTTGTATTGAGAAAGCAGCAATTTTACAATCTAATGAAATGTTGAGAACTATATTTAAATGGTTAATTGGTCAGGTTTTCAATCAATTCCATCAAAAAGGTCAAAAGTAACAAGAAATAAGTGTGGAAAATGACGTAAACTGGTGTAAGATTGTTGTAAATTAAATTAGGAATCATGTTAACATTTTATAACATTTTCTAAAGTAATAACTGATTATGCAACATTAACATTACTAATACTTATAGTGTATGTGGAGTACATAACAGCATTTGTATAAAAGGATGAAAAATCATCTACAGAATGGAAAGCATTGAACAAAACTGTTAGCTGCTAAGCTAAAAACTAAATAATAAAAAAAATAAATACTAGTATAGTAAATACTATGTGAAACCCATTATGATTTAAAGCAGGGTAAAAATCTACATATTTGATACTTACAGAATTATAAAATAACATTGTGCTCAATATTTGATCTAGAGATGAAGAATAAAAAACTACCAGGAATAAAAGTAATCAAAGCATAGATAAGACTGAGGTAGAGTCAATACTGCTTAGAAAAAATATTTTAAATACAAAAAGAAATCAAAGTTTTTACAAATTCCACAAACCTGTGCTGAAATCAAGAGCAAATTCCTCGTAGGGGTCTCCGGATACGATGCTGTAGATAAGTTTGCGGCCGAGAGGTGACTCTGCCTTGATAGTGACGGGGAGGGGTGAATGAAGCGCAATATCCTCTGGAGTAGAAACTGAGTAGAACTGCTTGTCAAACACGGGCATGGATCTATCCACTACTTTCACTGTGACAGATACCTCAGTGGAGCATGGGCTCTGACCTGTAATATGTAGTGGTTAGAGTACTGCCATGCAATGTGACAAGTAGGGGAGAATGGAGCGCAATATCCTCTGGAGTAGAAACTGAGTAGAACTGCTTGTCAAACACAGGCATGGATCTATCCACTACTTTCACTGTGACAGATACCTCAGTGGAGCATGGGCTCTGATCTGTAATATGTAGTGGTTAGAGTACTGCCATGCAATGTGACAAGTAGGGGGAGAATGGAGCGCAATATCCTCTGGAGTAGAGACTGAGTAGAACTGCTTGTCAAACACAGGCATGGATCTATCCACTACCTTCACTGTGACAGATACCTCAGTGGAGCATGGGCTCTGACCTGTAATATGTAGTGGTTAGAGTACCGCCATGCAATGTGACAAGTAGGGGGAGAATGGAGCGCAATATCCTCTGGAGTAGAGACTGAGTAGAACTGCTTGTCAAACACAGGCATGGATCTATCCACTACCTTCACTCTGACAGATACCTCAGTGGAGCATGGGCTCTGACCTGTAATATGTAGTGGTTAGAGTACCGCCATGCAATGTGACAAGTAGGGGGAGAATGGAGCGCAATATCCTCTGGAGTAGAGACTGAGTAGAACTGCTTGTCAAACACAGGCATGGATCTATCCACTACCTTCACTGTGACAGATACCTCAGTGGAGCATGGGCTCTGACCTGTAATATGTAGTGGTTAGAGTACTGCCATGCAATGTGACAAGTAGGGGAGAATGGAGCGCAATATCCTCTGGAGTAGAGACTGAGTAGAACTGCTTGTCAAACACAGGCATGGATCAATCCACTACCTTGACTGTGACAGATACCTCAGTGGAGCATGGGCTCTGACCTGTAATATGTAGTGGTTAGAGTACCGCCATGCAATGTGACAAGTAGGGGGAGAATGGAGCGCAATATCCTCTGGAGTAGAGACTGAGTAGAACTGCTTGTCAAACACAGGCATGGATCTATCCACTACCTTCACTGTGACAGATACCTCAGTGGAGCATGGACTCTGACCTGTAATATGTAGTGGTTAGAGTACCGCCATGCAATGTGACAAGTAGGGGGAGAATGGAGCGCAATATCCTCTGGAGTAGAGACTGAGTAGAACTGCTTGTCAAACACAGGCATGGATCTATCCACTACCTTGACTGTGACAGATACCTCAGTGGAGCATGGGCTCTGACCTGTAATATGTAGTGGTTAGAGTACTGCCATGCAATGTGACAAGTAGGGGAGAATGGAGCGCAATATCCTCTGGAGTAGAGACTGAGTAGAACTGCTTGTCAAACACAGGCATGGATCTATCCACTACCTTCACTCTGACAGATACCTCAGTGGAGCATGGGCTCTGGCCTGTAATATGTAGTGGTTAGAGTACGGTACTGCCAAGTACTACAAGTTAAATCCCTGACCCAGCTGTTTTTTGTGCTTTTTTTTAATCCTGGGTAAATAATCAGCTCGTCTCAATCAGTAACTAAATGATACAAGGTATCCAAATATCCGGCATTCATCCTTATAACTTACACTTAGAACAGAATACACTTTAGAAGTGTCAAATTTCAGAAGAGGGGAGAAGTATCCTATTACTGCAATATTATTTATCCTGTGTTCTAGATTTTTTTGTTTTTTGTTAGAATAGCAGGCTTATCTGAGTTGTAAACAGTCTCTTCCGGGGTATAAGTAGCCTACATAAACTGTATACACTATGTGTCTCACCTCCATCGTAAGCTGCAATGCTGAGTGTGTAGTCCTTGTTGTGAGATTCCAGAGGTTGTTTCAGACTGATCTCTCCAGTCTTGCGACAGACTCTGAACAACTCTCCATGACCTTTCATCAGCTCGTAGCGAACCTCACCGTTCTCTCCCGAGTCCAGGTCCACTGCATGTACCTAGTTGGTAAAATAAAAAAAAAACAGTCAGAATAATGGTCCAATTAAAACGAGATGACTCCGTAAAAGAAGACTTTAAACAGCTGTATATACATTTAATTGTGAACAATAAATCCTCTGACATTGTATAACAATGAAAAAAAAAAAAAACACAGTCAGGGGAATTTTGCTCCTTCCCTAATACGTTATTAGGGAATGCAAATTATATTGTTGTAATTTTAATATGCAGATAAATGGCACTGCTATTCAAATTTGTTTTGTACTTTTAAATGAGTAAATACATGAATATGAAATATGATATGAATAATTTAATACCTGAAAGACATAAAAATGAATATCATGAGTTGATGCAACATAGACCTCAGAACATAATTGTAAAGGTACTATTTGTATTATGAATTACCTTTGTTATGACATCCCCTTTTTGAGCGTCAATGGAGACTACAGCATAGTAGGGAAGGTTGACAAACATGGGACAGTTGTCATTGATGTCCAGAACTGTAATGTTGACTGGCACTTGAGCAATGCGGATGGCGTCACCAAACTCTTCACTCCTCGCCTATATGCAAAACATATATCAAAAGGGTGGCATTTTAAAGGTTGTTTGAATGGGTCATAGTCAAACTGTTGTTCAAAATGATTTATTTCAAACGATTACCTACATACGATTTCAGAAAAATTTCTGAAAGAAAAGGAAAATAGAATTTGATAAAATTAATAGTGTGGAGTAGATTTTTTATTGTTGTGATTTTCACGTAAAATTGTATATAAATTGTGCTTTTTTAGAGTGATAAAAATAAAAATTCTAGAGCACTTATGATCACAATAAGTGGCTGAAGTGTATGTGACTTTTATTGAGGGGAGATACCGAAAGGGACCCTTTAGCTCTAGAGACAGCTATAAATTATATGGTTTTAATGTAGGCAATTAAGGTGGGTTCTGAAAAAATTAATAACCACAGTATCACAAAGCAAAAATTAGATATAATTTTAGACTTTGGTGCAAAAGAGGAAAAGGTTTGATCCTCATGATATCGAAAAGCATTTTTGGGATTTGGCCCTTTTTACTCTAAAGCAATTTTTTTATAATTCCTTTCCTCAAATGCAATTGGCGTAGACATTAACAACAACAAAAGTAATTGATAGGATTTGAATCTTGGCTGAGAGAATATGAAATCGAGACCAAAGTTTTGTACTATGACCTACCTACCCAGGTGCTGGATTGTTAATCTTTGATTGTTGAGATTTTAATTTATGGTCCTAAGAAACAGCTGACCTTAGCTAACATCTTATTCATTAACTTCATCTTCGCCTCAATACACACCCTGTTTTGTTGGTCTCATACCTGTACAATGAGCTGATAGTGGTCTTGTGTCTCCCGGTCAAAGCGCAGACCTGTAGTGCTCACAGCTCCTGAGGTCCGACCTATCTTAAACAGTGGCGAGGGATTGAGAATGGTGAAGGCGAGATGTTCATTCAGTTGAGATCCGAGGACATTGACGACAGCTACTGTGAGAGGTTTGGTGGAGTTCTCCAACACAGAGCCTTGGTACATAGGTCGCTGGAACACCAGTCCCGACTCTGAGGAACGCTCCCACTTGATGTTCACATGCCTGGAACACACAACTGGTGTTGGTTACCTGATGAATAGCTAAATATAATACTTTTCATCTCAAGTCTGGGAAACTTTTTACCTATAATACACATTTCATACTTGGAAACATCTGAGTAACCACTATACATTACATTCAATATATCATATCTTAATCCCATTCTAATTTTAAAATGAATGATCATCCAACAGAAGATACAATTCTAGTCTATGAAACTCACGCATGTGATGTATATTTCCCATCGGTCACAGCCACTCGGAGCCTGTGAGGGGAGGAGCGCACACCATGTTGAGTGTCCCTCACTATAATGAAGCCTTTGTTCTCAACAATGCGATAGATTCCATGTTCATTGCCACTGACGATCGAGTACTTAAGTGATGTCAGACCTCTTGAATCACCATCCGTTGCATTCACCTGAAGAAAAATTGTGAGATTTTAAATTTTTAATGATGAAGTTGAGTTTTTAGGACAATGTACCAAAGAGCTTTGACAAATTTCTTTTTACCCCACGTAACATTATTATGAGAAACTTGATGAATAGAAAGTCTATGGTAATCTTACACAGTATAAACTTAGTTACATTTCAGATTACGGCAGATGCTACCTTATACGGCATGCTTTGATGGTGCCAGATTACTGTATGCCTCCTAAAAACCGATTAACTTAATCATTAGTTTACCTGAGCAATGATAACATTTTTGTAGGTAGGCAGCAGGACGGAAGCGTTGTATTCATTGTGTGTGAAGACCGGGGGACAGTCGTTGACATCGAGCACTGAGATGCTAACTTGTGCTGTTGTTTCACTGGACAACCTCGGAGTGCCAAGGTCTGTCACTCGAACACCAAACTTGATAACTGGCAACTGCTCGTGGTCCAGGCTCATAACTGTGCGAATAGCTCCTGCAATACATCCATTCAAGATAGAGTGAATGTTACGAGTCCTGCATAAGTCTACGTTGAAATGTGAAAAGAGCTTAACATTGCCATAGTTTTGTAGAGTTTGGTGCTTATCTAGTGATTAGCAAAATTAGCATCTTGGACTTGAGTACAAGAGTTACAGGTTTTGTTCCCCATCATTTTCACTCATATTTAGGGATTGGACTGGATTCTCTTGAAAGTAACTTACTTTTGTATTTCTAGGGCTTGATTTCTAGAAATTGAAATACATCAACTGAGCTTATTACCCCTTACAGTCCTATCCTATCTATACCTCCCCTCATAAATTCACGACTTCTTTTAGTATATCATACCACGATAGTTTATAGTAACATACTATAATTTACAATGAGTTTCCCATTGCAGTTTGGTATCATCAAACAGTTGTTGGATAAGGAAGAATATTGCAAGTTACAGCACCACACATAATACATATCATCCTACACTCATCCTTCACTCATATTTGGGCAAAAATACACACATATTGGCCTTGAAATGATCAAGGCCACTATGTGCGTATTGATTGATGATACATAATACATTGACTGTTGAATAGTGGCCATTAGTTAAAATGAAAAATTACAGATGTTAAACAAACAAGAGAACAATCAGAAATGGCAGTGAAAGATGGCAATTAATTGTTTCCTAAGAATGCATGCCTTTTACCAACCTGTCGTAGAGTCTATATGGAACATCCTTCTGGCAGCAGGTTCCACAATGTCATACTGCAACAGAGCATTGACCTGGGAGTCCATGTCCTGGGCGGAGATGACCAGTGGAGCGCTGCTATTAGTCAGCACCAGGGAGCCAATCACAGCGTCCTCAGCTACTGAACCAAAGTAGTTGGTCTCTAGGAAGTACGGTGGGTTGTCGTTGCGGTCCAGCACATGAACTATCACCTGACACACAGCTTTGGCTCCAGCCTACACACACAATAAATTTCTATAACTGCAGTTACATCCATCTGTCTAACTATACACTTAATACAATAAGGATTTTTTTCTCTGTTAGATCCCTTTTTCAGACATCCTACTTCATTGATATTTACCATTTAGGTGTCATTTTAAAGCTTATGATCTAGCTGAGTGACGAATCGTTACTAGAAAGATCATTTCCTTAAGGGCATTGCCCATTGGCTTTTATTTTATAATTTTTTTTAGTTTGCTTTCAAAGATCCAGTGATTTTTAGCAAATCTCATTATAATGGGTTTAGTTTTAATGTGAATAATTGTAACTTAACAGCTGATTTTTCAGTAACGTTTACCACATTTAGATGGAAAACAGGATATGAAACGTAAAAACAGTTCAAGAAAATGCATTTTACATAGCCTAGTCTACTTTGAGTGATATTTGCAACCTGATTGAAGTAGGTAAATCAATCTTTCCATTAACAACAGTGGATTCATCCCAAGTATTTAGCAAGTTCTAACTTTCTAAGGAATTCTCTGTTATTTTACTTTAGTTTTCAAAATTCGAAGAATCTTTTGTTTATCAGACTAGTATTAGCGGGAAGAATCTGATCTAGTGGAAGAGCACGGAACGTCAGTCTCTGAGGTTCAGGACTCAAATCAAGCCAAAAACAAACTGATTTGATATAATTGATAATGCTGCAAACCTTTTAGGCCTAGTCTGAAGAAAAAAAATAGTAGGACTTCAAATAATAAAAATAACAGTATTGTACAGATTTAAATCCAAAATGATTTTAATTTCTTTAAGTAGATTATAAATAATTAATGATGTAATAAATACCGTACCAAATATACGATAAAGTTTTAAAGAAGCCCTTCATCCAGAGTGTCTTCAAAATGTAAATTAGAACAGTAGTTGTACAAATAGAGGATTTAAATCACATTTTGGCTGTCTAATATAATAAGTAGCTCAAGGTGAGTGGCAGCTGGGTAAGTGTATGTGTCTGATAACATAAATGGTATCAGAATACTAATATAAACTAAAAACATTTACCATGTTGGTTGCGGTGACACTGAGGTTGTATATCCTTGTAGCCTCGTAGTCCAAGGGCCAGGTGGTAGTCAGAACGCCTGTGCTGGGGTTGATGCTGAACCGGTTCTCGTTGTTGCCTCGGATAATCTCAAACAACAGTGAGGACGTGCTGCGGGCCTCCAGGTGCTTCACTACTGTGCCAGCCGGCTCACCCTCATACAGCTCTGCTGCTACCTCTCTCTGCATGAACCTATACAATCTCTTGCTTAGTACAAACTTCCTTACATTCACAATTAAAATGATCGATAAATTATAATGCATTCAGATATTTGACTAAAAAAACATGATACAAAAAAAAAATATTTTTTCTCTGAGTTTTTTTGCTTCTGGAGACAATAAAAAAAAGAAATGCCAGCTGAGCTGTTAGAAATAAAACATACTCATTAAATGGTTTGCCATCCTTATTGATCAACTAACGACAACGTTCTGTAAATTACAAAAAAAGTATAATCAAATAAAACAATGTAATAAAAAAAAAATTATAGTATTCTGATTTTGTAACCAAACAGTAAAGCATAAATCATAAAATTACCCCTAAAATAAGAGAAACAAATTTTAGTCAACACGCTAGCCCTCAACATAAATCACACATACAAAATCTTCAGATCTTACAAGGAGATGAGAAATCTATTTTTGCCAGTGCCCACCTACAAGACTATTATAGTAATAGTGTTTTTATAGGGTAGACAGTGGCGTAACAGCCGCCCCCGCAGACCCCGCGGTGCGGGGGGGCCCGCGAGGTTTAGGGGCCCGCGAGTTTAAGATACCCTTTTCTCATAAAACCGTCCGTAAAACCGATCCTTTGTTCACGAATGTTTTTCTCTCCTGACAAATTATAAATAAAAAAACGATGTGTTGGTAGATACTTTTATTCTGCCAAATCTACTAAAGTTTTATCTTTTAATTAACAATATTGTTAACGAAACGCCAACGCTCACTACGATCACCCGACGATGTGTATTGTCAGTGTGGTTGTGTAGCTTCATGCTAGCACTAGGAGCTGTGTGCCTGCCTGCCGGCCTGCCGCCGCGCCGTGGCGACACACACTCGGAGCCGGCCCCTCGGCCTCGGCCCTCCCCCCTCCCCCACTAACCGCTCACGTGTAGATCACGTGTACCCTCACTAACGCTGACCGTTCGTAGATCACCTGATTTTGGAGATCCATTCCATGCGGATTGCGAGTGACTCGTCAGTAGTGCATGTCGCGAGAGTTTCTCAATCAGGTGTCATGTCATTAAATTGGGCTAATTTAGTGAAGCACTAACATTTACAGTTGGGACCACGAAAGTTTGCAGTTGGCGGCAGCCAATCACAAGACTAGTGCGACGTTGCCATATCGTCCTTTGACGACACTAATTAAAATACCAAACAATATTTTTAAAACAGCTGGTATTATTCGATTTGGCAACACCGCACTGCCCTCATTGGCTCATTTGAAGTCAAATGGTAAATATGCTACTCCCTCAACTGCAAACTTTCGTGGTCCCGACTCAAATTATAGTTGGAAGTTTGGTTGAGTTTAGTAATGAATGTGAATGGTGGAGTAATGGAGTAGCCCATATATATTAATCACGGACATAACTCCCAAGTTTATTATCACTGTGACAGTGACAAAATATAAAATATGTTTCAAGGACGACTCTGGTCGTGTGGTTGAAGAATAGGTAAATACTTGATATTGATATTGCTAGAGACCATCCTCTGCCAGTCTGATCGTGTAGGCCGTATGCCTGCCGTCACCTACGTTATGTGATAGTTGTGGTGTGGTGATGGTTGTGGTGCTGTGGTGGGGAATGGGAGGGATAGTAGGGGGCCCACAGACATATTTGCGGGGGGGCCCGGGGAAATACTGTTACGCCACTGAGGGTAGATACTTTAAAAAGTTTGGTAATATCAGATTAAAGGCCTTTACCATAAAAAACATGGTAATATTCACTATCCATCCAATAGGGAAATTGGCTAACATGTAGTAATCTATATTCCATACACTATAAGCCTGAAACTTGATTTAACATTTAAAACGGTCTTGAGTTCTAAATTAAATTATTCTTTAGTTTTATAAGACTAGTATTTTGATGACTTGTAATGTTTTACATATTTGAACACAGATTATATATACCTGGGAGGTGCGTTGTCAGCCATAACCACCATGATGTGTACGGGGAGGGAGGCGGAGAGGGGAGGGTCTCCTCCGTCCACTGCTCTCACCACCAACATGTACTCAGCTGTAGAGGAGAGGTCTAGCGATCGAGCCAAGCGAACAGTGCCCAGAACTGGGTCTAGCAAGAAAGTATTGCCCACATTCCCTGAAACATTCAACGAAATAGAAAAAAATGCTTTTGCTATTATTATTTATTTGTAAATATGACTTAAAACCATATTTTGTCACATACATTAACAACTTTTGATTTTAAGAGTAAAGTATTTAAGGTAAGTACATTTTGAAGACCATTTCCACTTTTACAACATACACATTTGGATCTTATTCCTTTAACATTGGTACTGTTTCAATCAATGAATCAATCAATCAATGTTCATGACTTTTATCAATGTCTGAATTTTTTTAAAGGTTATGTCCTTTAATATGTCATTCAGCTTGATATCTCTATATTCAACCAAAATAAAAAAACCAAAAGGAAATCGATCCCATTCCCCCTATCCCCATACTCTATACTAGTGTAAAAAGAAGCAAAAAGGTGTTATACTCAATCATTATAAAACCTACTAATGTAGGTAGTCAACTTCTACCCAAGCTGGATTCTGTTTCTTAAAGGTATTCTCTCTCAACAGCTAAGCCACTCATTAGCAAGCTTAACGTACAAGAATCAAACCCGTGCATACCTCAGAGCTACATTTGTTAATCCAACACATTAGTCAACTCTGCAAAAATGTCACCGTCGGCCAGACGAGACAAGTGCGTTGATAAAGAAAGGTAAGGTACACAAATTCATAAACAACTTTATGGTCACCTATTTTACTTTGCTCCATTGTATACTCATGTACCTGAGACAATAGAGTAGGTAAGTGCTGCGTTTGCCCCATGGTCCTTGTCACTGGCCAGCACGGTGACTACCGCTGTACCAACGGCTGCACTCTCCAGCACTCGTCCCTGCACAACACCCCCGGTCCACTCTGGCGCGTGGTCGTTGGCATCGTGAACGTGTATCAGCACTCGGGCAAAGTTGCGCTTGGCTGGTGTCCCTTGGTCTCTCACCACTACAGTCAACACATGTTCTGCCATGCTCTCCCTGCCAGATAACACATCACATGAACAAATCATTACAGTCATGATTCTATTTCTCTTGTAACACTGATATTGTTTGAAAAATAGGATTTTCCTAATATTTTAACAATCATTACTGAAAGTGAAATATAATTAATGATGAAATTTAGCTTTGATTTTGTACTGTCACTTTTACTTTAATGTTGTTTTTGTCAATTTGAGGATCAAACTCAATTAAAGTAAAGGTAGTTTTAACAAACAATATGTACAGTTAAAGAGTACAGGGTAATATAATGACTTAATGTTTTGAGTACTTAAACATTTTATAATAATATGTTCTACATAGATTATTAAATACCTAACATCCATTTTTTATATGTCTCATATTTACATTCAAGGACATAGGCTATAGCTTGAACGGTTTTACACATTACTTCAGGAGTCCTAAAGGGTTGTGGCACAAATCCATTGGTAATTTGCATGGTTTTTACCCAGGACCTCGGGGACCAAAGTCTCATGCACCACTAGACGAGCTTGCTCAATATCATACTTCTATTAGAGAAACAATGTATACATAATGAGTGACCTGTCGAGGGGCTGAGCCAATATGACTGCACCAGTCTGGTAGTCCACTCTAAACAGAGCCAAGCTGTGCTGACTGCGAGCCGAGTGTAGACTGTACGCAACCTTGCTGTCTTGGTCAGTGTCCCACGCCTGCAGTGCTACCAACACGCTGTCTACCGGGGTACTCTCCGACACGTTCACTGCGTACTCAGGCTGAGAGAACACCGGACGGTGCTCGTTGATGTCAATCACACTCACGTACAACTGTATGATAATTGAATGGTTTATTATGACACACTCACACTAATAAGTTGTGCTTGTGTATTATCACAGATCGATACAAGCAGATATAATAAAGATCAAAGTGAATTTCATTAATGATTTGAAATTAAAGTCAATGAATAGCAAGAATAGTATAAGAGCCTACTCATTTGATGATGTCTTTTTTTACTTTTGTTTTAACCCTTTCCACTCGGATTAGTTGACCCCTTGTTGTCCCATACGCTTGCATTTATTGCCATGCAAAAAAACATGTTTTAAGTTTTGTGTACATATACTGACTGAAATAAATTATTTGTTGTACTTGAGGGCTTGATTCTTATTCAGCATAACATTGTACACAAGTAAAACAAAATATCAAAATAAATATACCCATAAAATATTTTTTGTGTGGTTATAATATAAAAAAAGCAAAATAAAATGTACAAAATATTTTTTAGGAGGCTTTTTAAAAAACGTTAACACATTTTCAGGATTTGTAAAACACTTTATCAACATTAGTTATCTAGTTGCCAATTCAAATCAGCCATTACAAGAAGGATTAGGTGTATTTTTAATGAAAAAATGCATTTTCAAACTTAGATTTTTTGGTGATTTTGGTCGTCATGGTTACTATTTACACTTCTCTATTCTTTAATCCACAGCTGACTAAATAAACTTACAATTATTTTTCAAGCTACCAAAGACATGTAAAATGAATAAGGAAATCATTAAGTTTGTATTCAACACAAATTCAAAACATGCAAACACTATATAAAAGGGATTTATTAATAAAAAGCCGATGCTGAAAATGTCGCGGCGGCCGCGACATACAAGTGGAACGGTCAGACGTGAATGTCGCGGTAGCGGCGACATACGAGTGGAAAGGGTTAAGGTTTTAACATATGGTACTACTTTTAATGTGAATTCCACAGGTGTTGATTTAAGTACCTTCAAAAAAATTAAAATTATTCGTAAAATGTAATACTTTTTTACAAATAGTTTGAACAATTGTTAGTTGTGAAGTAGCTGAGAAACAATAAACTCAAAAATGTTCAGATATTACAAAAGCTTGAGAAATATCTACAGGTATAAAGGAACTGTCCAGTTAAAATCAAATGATTTTGCTGGTTTTAACAGGACATTACTTGTTGTAAGTCATACAACCTCCATGTTTAGGTAAACTTAATCAACACCCGCACTAACATTGCCTCTAACATTTGATACATGGTTCAATTAACTAGACAAAAGTCTTTTACTTCCTGTAAACATTATGCTCGTCATGGTAAATTTAAAAGCCAGAGGGAAAAAGTCTCTAAGGGTTTTGAAGACCAGAAAAAAACAGAAACCTTCCCTGAAATATGTAGAATAGTTTCCAAAAGTTAAAAAACAATTAGATAGATGGTTTGGTGAAGTAAAATTACATAGAGACAAAATATATTGTTTAATATGGATAAAAGAGATGAAACTTTTAAAGAAGATGTAAACTTTGTTTAGGACTAGTATTACTAGTTGTTTGACACAAGAGTGCACAGTACCTGTGTAAGAACTACATGTATTCCGTCAGTAACACTGATGGTGAGGTTATATTCCTTCTGAGACTCCCAGTCCAGCTGACGAGCCAACAACACACTTCCCTCGTCTCCTCCCATCACAAACTCAGCTTTAGGGTCTCCATCTACAAAACAACATCACATTGGTAACAACAACATACAATACAAATAATTTACAACAAATAATTATTGTTTTTGGTGAAGAAGAACAGAAGATGTATAATTCTAAACATTAGAGGACTTAAATCACATTTTGGTTGTCACATCTAGTATTACCTCAAAGGGAGCTAAACAGGCAGTGGCAACCAACCTATCATAAACAGTTCTCATTAGCTTAAAAGCTTTTCATTCTTTTCATTCTTCAAAAAGTTTTCTTTTCTTTAGGATTAAGAAGACAAAATTGGAGAGAAATATCAAATCAGTCTAGAAACTAGTGACCTATGAAGCTACATGGACTGTATTTAGACAAGCTTTGTTTACGAGCCACCAGGAAGCCAACAGTGTCACTCTCTGTGACCTCTACATGCTGATCTCCACCCATCACTACAGGGTCATGCTAAGACTTGTAACTTACCAACAATCTTGTACCACAGAGTGTCTCCGTCCTGTCAGAGGCTTGTATGAGAGCCACCAGGAAGCCAACAGTGTCACTCTCTGTGACCTCCACATGCTGATCTCCACCGCTTCACTACAGGGACATGCTCAGACTTGTAACTTACCAACAATCTTGTAACACAGAGTGTCTCCGTCCTGGTCAGAGGCTTGTATGAGAGCCACCAGGAAGCCAACAGTGTCACTCTCTGTGACCTCTACATGCTGATCTCCACCGCTTCACTAGAGGGACATGCTCAGACTTGTTGCTTACCAACAATCTTGTACCTCAGAGTGTCTCCGTCCTGGTCAGAGGCTTGTATGAGAGCCACCAGGAAGCCAACAGTGTCACTCTCTGTGACCTCCACATGCTGATCTCCACCGCTTCACTACAGGGTCATGCTCAGACTTGTAACTTACCAACAATCTTGTACCACAGAGTGTCTCCGTCCTGGTCAGAGGCTTGTATGAGTGCCACCAGGAAGCCAACAGTGTCACTCTCTGTGACCTCTACATGCTGATCTCCACCGCTTCACTACAGGGTCATGCTCAGACTTGTAACTTACCAACAATCTTGTACCACAGAGTGTCCCCGTCCTGGTCAGAGGCTTGTATGAGAGCCACCAGGAAGCCAACAGTGTCACTCTCTGTGACCTCCACATGCTGATCTCCACCCCTTCACTACAGGGTCATGCTCAGACTTGTAACTTACCAACAATCTTGTACCACAGAGTGTCTCCGTCCTGGTCAGAGGCTTGTATGAGTGCCACCAGGAAGCCAACAGTGTCACTCTCTGTGACCTCTACATGCTGATCTCCACCGCTTCACTACAGGGTCATGCTCAGACTTGTAACTTACCAACAATCTTGTACCACAGAGTGTCTCCGTCCTGGTCAGAGGCTTGTATGAGAGCCACCAGGAAGCCAACAGTGTCACTCTCTGTGACCTCTACATGCTGATCTCCACCGCTTCACTACAGGGACATGCTCAGACTTGTAGCTTACCAACAATCTTGTACCACAGAGTGTCTCCGTCCTGGTCAGAGACTTGTATGAGAGCCACCAGGAAGCCAACAGTGTCACTCTCTGTGACCTCCACATGCTGATCTCCACCGCTTCACTACAGGGTCATGCTCAGACTTGTAACTTACCAACAATCTTGTACCACAGAGTGTCTCCGTCCTGGTCAGAGGCTTGTATGAGAGCCAACAGGAAGCTGACAGTGTCACTCTCTGTGACCTCCACATGCTGATCTCCACCGCTTCACTACAGGGACTTGCTCAGACTTGTAACTTACCAACAATCTTGTACCACAGAGTGTCTCCGTCCTGGTCAGAGGCTTGTATGAGAACCACCAGGAAGCCAACAGTGTCACTCTCTGTGACCTCCACATGCTGATCTCCACCGCTTCACTACAGGGACATGCTCAGACTTGTAACTTACCAACAATCTTGTACCACAGAGTGTCTCCGTCCTGGTCAGAGGCTTGTATGAGAGCCACCAGGAAGCCAACAGTGTCACTCTCTGTGACCTCCACATGCTGATCTCCACCCTTTACTACAGGGACGTGCTAAGACTTGTAACTTACCAACAATCTTGTACCACAGAGTGTCTCCGTCCTGGTCAGAGGCTTGTATGAGTGCCACCAGGAAGCCAACAGTGTCACTCTCTGTGACCTCTACATGCTGATCTCCACCCTCCACTACAGGGTCATGCTCAGACTTGTAACTTACCAACAATCTTGTACCACAGAGTGTCTCCGTCCTGGCCAGAGGCTTGTATGAGTGCCACCAGGAAGCCAACAGTGTCACTCTCTGTGACCTCTACATGCTGATCTCCAACCTTCACTACAGGGACATGCTAAGACTTGTAACTTACCAACAATCTTGTACCACAGAGTGTCTCTGTCCTGGTCAGAGGCTTGTATAAGTGCCACCAGGAAGCCAACAGTGTCACTCTCTGTGACCTCTACATGCTGATCTCCACCCTCCACTACAGGGACATGCTCAAACTTGTAACTTACCAACAATCTTGTACCACAGAGTGTCTCCGTCCTGGTCAGAGGCTTGTATGAGTGCCACCAGGAAGCCGACAGTGTCACTCTCTGTGACCTCTACATGCTGATCTCCACCCTTCACTACAGGGACGTGCTCAGATTTGGTCGGTACTGCTGCTACTTGCACTGACACTCTTGCTGTACTGCTGCGGTTGGGAGAGCCACCGTCCATGGCACGCACCTGCACCAACTCAATTAGTAACTCAGCAATTCTACAGCTTGATCAGTTGTTAAGTAACCAGCGAATGGATGTTCTCCAAATATAATTTTTAGAAAGGATAAGGAATTTTAATTATATATAATTTATATATAATAATTATATAATAATTATAAGGACTGGGACGGGTGGCCTTGTCCTGTAATGCAGCTACTAGGAGGTCACGAATTGTGGATATTTATAGGGATGCACTGTGGATGCGATGCTCCCTGGTGTGGATTAACGTCCGCACTAGTGAGTACTACGACTATCCGCAGTACTATCCTGATAATTACACCAATTCGTAAATTACAAGGAAAAAATGTGGTTTGGATTCCACTATAAACTGTAGGTCCCTTAGTTGCCATTAGCTGTATGGGCTATTAATTAACAGCTGTGTCTAAGGAACATGTCGGCCTTAGTCACTAACAAGACTACAAGATCGCGCCACTATTCCTACACTCATCCTTCACTCATATTTGGGTTAAAATACGCACATAGTGGCGTCCCCATCTTAAATAATTGAATTAGGATGGAAAATATTTCCAATTACACAATGAAGTGGCCTCTGGATTGTCAGAATCAACAAATAAATAAATGTTTACGTTACATATGTATTGCCATGAGAAAAGTCAGCTGTTTCATGCTGTGGAAAATTAACAATGCCGTTGTGAGGGATTTATAAATGGACATTCTAACCCAAAGTTAAGCTCCACTTTGCAAGACAATGCCCAAGTTCATGTGTGGTACATAGAGACAAGTAATGTGCTAAGATGCAAGGGAAGCAATTCTCAATGGATATGCAGCCAAAGTGCTAATACACCATAATAGTAATACAATTCATATAGCTATAGATAAGTCATCACTTATTGGACAGTCAGTATCTACCTAGTTTTGGCTTCGTCTTTATTAATTTCTCCCCAGTGCCAGAATTACCATCATCCCCAAAAAGACCAAGAGGAGGCCGCATTATTGTAGAAAAACAATTTTTTAAGAACAAAAAATGAATTTGGATTTTTTGAAAACTATAAATTGCTGCAATCGCAGATGATGATGATGATGATGATGATGTCTCTTTTATCGCTGATGATGATGATGTCCTATTGATCGTTGACGATTTTCACAATTTTGTGGCCATTGCGAGTGAACATAATGATGTTTTAGTGATCGTGAGTGAGATGTTTTAGGTGCAACAACTGACAACTGTACTTTGTGATTTTCACCTTATAGGTGAGGACCATTCGATTTTATTTAGCCTAGGGCCACAAGTAGCCTAAATTAGTCACTCATTTATCTATATTATTCTTGTTGAATATTACAGTAAAAGTATGATCTGATCAGTAGAATTCTAGTTTGGTATCTAATTAAATTTTTTAAGTACCAATCATTTTAACAATACTCATAGCAACACCTTTTGTTCAACTTACCATTAAGTCATATTCTTGGCCTGCAGTAAATGTGGATGCAGAATAAACGACTCCAGTCTCAGGGTGAATACCAAATTTGGCTTTTCCTCGAGCAGACTTTAGACTATACTGGATCTCTCCAAATAAACCAGCATCGCGATCCAGGGCAAGGACCTTTTTTGCATAACATAGATTTACAAATTCAATACATCATTAATCAATCCTACAAAATATAACCTATTGTACAGTTAAAACTGATCGTAATGAATACAGGAAAACATGAGGGATATTTTTGCCATACTATTGAAATATTTTAATTAAACCAAAATATCCAATACAATTTTAACTGAAAATTGTTCAAAGGTTCAACAGTCGCAGACTTTAATTCTGACAAGTTGGAATACATTAATAAGTAGATACTATATAGTTGCTAAGCCTATAAATATAAACTATCAAAAATTACTCATTTTTAAATAATGTTTCGATAAAATGTAAGGAAAATGTTCCACTTATTCAACCAATGATACTGTGTACTGTACACATATTTGATCTAACAAATAAATATCATTAAAGTACAATTATTTGAAGCATCAAAATTTATACAACAAAAGTTGTATAAAATGCAACACATATTTTACAAAGTAGTTTTAAACTGGGTTGACTTACCCGGAAAAGCGGTGTGCCTGTAATATTTTTGACGTCAAGGCTTTCCCACGAGTCATTACTGAGTAAAGCCTCAAACCCCAGCTCCTCCCCCGAGTCTACTTCGTTCTGGAAAATGTAACATATGATTATGAATAAAACACGTACTCAACAAGCAGAACAAGGATACATTTAATATTCACTGTTATAAATGTGTCTTCCTAGGGTAAAATATTAGGTTTATGAGTTGATCTTTACCTGAGCCAAAGGTGCTTTGCTATCTCTAGTCTCGGGAATCACCACGTGGTAGAAGTTCTCTTCAAACTGAGGAATGTTGTCATTCACATCATCCACGACCACCACGACTCTAGTGGTCGATGACAGAGGTGGAGTGCCGTTGTCTGATATTGTGATCTGGAAATATAACCACTTTTGTAAATGGCAAGCAGTAAAGTCAGTCAGACAAATGGTTATAACAAATTGTACCAAATATCGACAAATGGTCACAGTTACACAAGATAACAGCGTTAGGGTACAAGCTTTAAGAAAAGTTATGTTTCTTGTATTTGAACCTTAAAAATGTCCGAAATAGTTATATTCAGTTACATTGCTAAAAGTGATAAATCACATTCAAGATATTGGGTTTTCACTTGTATAGACTTTCAATAAAACACAAGATCTAATAAGTGTTAGACTTAATAAAAAATGTTCTTTAAATAAAAAATTTCATGAAACAATTATACAAGGAAAAACTGTTATTTATAAAGTATTATTTAATCTTAAACGGTTTTTTACTGGTCAAAAGCTTTGATAACCTAGTCTGCAATTGAAATAGTTCAAAATATAGAGTCATAGAGAAATTAATTGTTTATTACATCAAAATCAATATATAAATTTTAGAGCATAGGAATCTCATAAAAGGGAAAATCATTCTAAACATAGTTGACATTATTCATACAGTGAATCGACGTATAAGGACTGTAATTTGTGATGATCGTGTGAAGTAAAATAATTAATATCATCCAAAATTGAATCAGTTATCTCATAATTGAGTTGGCCGAGACTAATTGAAAAAATTACCATACAGGATGATTTCAAAGCAAATACAGGCATAATTCAAGCTTTGCGATATAATCAGATTAGCAATGGAACCAGTAATAACTACTATAAACAAGCTTGTGTGTGTGTGTGACAAACAGTGCTCTCTGCCTTTATGAAAGCTGCAGTTACAAATATTAGGCATATTGATTAGCTTAAACTTATGACTGAAACAGTTAATTGAATTACACAAATAAATATATTAATATATTAATTGTCAGAAATTAAAACTATTGCAATGGTATTTGGTAAAATATATTGTAAAAAACCCTTATTTCTGTAAATCATAAACTGATGAAGTTGCAATAAAAAATAAAATTTTCTTTGTTTAAAAGAGGTAAAACACTCATTTTATAATTTACAATTGTAACCAAAATTAAAAAGTGAATAAAAGACAATCTGGGGTATTGTAGGTGTGGCTGTCATTTTTCAAATTGTGATTTTTCGTAAGTATTTTGTTAGTACGGTGGGAATAAATAAAACTACAAATATATAAAGTGATCTGCAATGACGTAAACATAAATTATAGTAGAAGGTAGAGAGCAAAACTCAATAACCTAATATACAGGGTGTCCCGTAGGTAAACAGCCAAACTCCGGGAAATGGTTCTATGGGTCAAAATAAATAGAATAACATTTTTTCCAAAATCGCTTCATTAACCAGATATCCACCTATTTGTATTGTTTGCATAAACATTTTTATTTTTGAAATATTTCAACCGATCTTTATAAAGCTTGGTATGTAGGTTAAGGTAGAAAAGACCAATGTTAGAACAAAAATTGACCTTGATTCAACTTAAAATTTCAAAATGGCGGCCATTTATATTTTTTAAACTTAAATTACTCAAAAACGGCTAATTTTATGAAATAATGTTAAGAACACTTTTATTTAGCATTTTTAATTCCCTATCAAAATATAACATGTTCAAAAAGATCGAATAAGAAATAGCTGAAATATTACGATTTTTAGTTGTAAAATGGGGCAAACCTGACTAGTTTCAGCCTTATTCCACCCCATTTTACAACAAAAAATCGTAATATTTACAAGACGCAATAATAATATTTAGTTAATATTTAGCGTAATATTTAGCGCAATATTATGCTAAATATTTATAAATTAAATCAATAATTTATTTATTAATTATTTATAAGCTAAATATTTATATATTTAGTGTGTTTTGGCGTAATATTTAGTTAATGAAGCGATTTTGGAAAAAATGTTTTTCTAGATTTTCTCTTTATTTTGACCCATAGAACCATTTCCCGGAGTTTGGCAGTTTACTTACGGGACACCCTGTATAACCTAATACAACATAACTCTTCTACTCTTCTAGGCTTGGCCTGAATTACAATGAAACACAATTGATGAAAAAAGATTAATGGACCAAGTAGTTTTTATTTTATACAACTTAAATTTTGATAATATAAATTAATTAAAAATATCAAGGGTTCTTTGGTTTGATTGATAATTAATAATAGGTAATTAATACCAACTATTTAAATGTTAATTACCTCCTCTTAAACATGAAATCATTTAATTTTAGTTTAAATACAGCTTTTCATTAATTATTATTTATAAAAAACTTTTAATGAGGCTATAGTTATGTAGTTTATTTTTTATAGGTTGTTAAATGCTACTAAACTTTGAATAAATATTTGCATAAAAATTACTAACATTTTTTAAAGAGAAAAAAAAACTTTAGAGAAATGCTTTAGTAACCTATGTGCTTTCATGTAATTAAATGGTTAATATGATAGTTAAATCATATTAAAATAGCATGTTGAATAGAGTGAATAGAGAGACTCTTAAAAATTGATAATAATAACCAATCACACACATAGGCCTAATGTAAAAAAAATTAAATCCAAATTACATCACTTTAATGTTTGGCTAAACATGTAAATGTCAGATTTGAGTAGATCTAACATAGGTTTTAAGCGTAAATGTTAGGGGTTTTAATGCATTTAGTAGCAATTAGGATATGCTTTCAATCAATTTAACAACTGAAACTCTTGTTTATTTAGGGTTTTGTTTGTGTTTTGATGGAAAAGAATAAACAGCATGGCTATGTTCTTCTTGAATTTTTCCTAGTTAGAAGAATGGCTATCAAGCTCTAATGTATTACTGATTTAAGCTCAATATATCAATTAACTATATTCGGTTATTTTACTTTGACACTCTAGTTACCTCAAGGGTGTGCTCAGCCTGGTTTTCACGGTCGAGTTTACGCCCTGTTGTTGACAAAACGCCTGAAACAACAAGAGCAAATCAACAACAAGTGACAGACAAACAGAGTAGACAAACAGAGCAGCTTCGTGTGTAGCACGGCTGTAATTAATCATCAAGCAGCCGTCCAGCAGCAAAACTATCACATCTCCTTTAAATTTGCTTCCCTTAAAGGGCACCTAATAATAGTAATTGTTCTTTTGTATGGTTTCAGATGATTGTGAATATTAAACATTCCACGGGTATTAATTAAAGTAAATAATAATTACTTAATTATATAGTAAGTTAATAGGGTAATAGGGTAAGTTTTTTTAATTAATATCAGAGTATAAAAACAGTTGTGATCGTTCATCAGCAAAAATTGTTTAAATTTAAGTTTGACACTACTTTTCTGACGACATAAATTTGATATAATACAAAAAACAACAGTCTTCAAACATTTAAAAATAAAGGACTACTTTATCAAACACCTTCTATAGATAAATCACAATCAGAGAGGTGCAGTAAGTTTATTTGAGCACAACAAATGTTCGGATGAATTTAATTAAATTAATAAAAGTTATACATTGAATCATTGACATGTAATAAAATACAATACTTGGTTGGGGTAATGTAATTATTTCGTGGATAGTTATGTATGTGGTACATTTTATTTATTGTCTAATGACTCTTAAGGACAAAGAGAACTAAAAGCCATTTGGCAGCTTCAAGTGTCAAAATAAAAGTGTGAGAACTTTGAAATAATTCCGTACATAGTACAATGTTATTACACAAGCACTATCAGTTTCAAGAGCCAAGCTTATATATTTCACACTGAATTATTCCTTACAGTTAAAAAACAAATTTATAAATAAAGATACTTTAATTAAGATTAAGACAAAATAAGTTACAGTCTATTACATACAAAGATTAGGATTTAATATACCACTATTTTCATTTTCATCTAAAAATACTTTTCAATCACTAGCATTGAATTGTTTGCTGTTCTAGAGCTATACAATTTAAACAGTTTGTACTTCCTTATAATAGATTCAATCAATCAAATTAATTGATATAGTAAAGAAGGGTGTTGTGGTTTACTAGGGGTTTGTGTTTCAGACTGTGGTGCAAGATGGAGGGGTTCAAATCCTGGAACATTTACGAAACATATTGATTTAAGAAACCCTCGTTAAAAATGGCACGGACAATGGAAATAACGGAAGACTCAGTTTTTTTTACAAAGCATGGGACTAGGTGGATAACACGAGATGGGACAAAGTGAAAAACTGGTGGGAAATAAATGTGATGTGGAGAGTAGAGAGAAGGAAGATGGTAATCTATCACCATGGGACTGAAGGTAAGGAGAGTGGTGACAGGTGAGGAGGCTAGCACTGAGGCGATGACTGGATTGGGTTAGAGACGTCACAACAGTCGAATCCCAAGGGTGACACACTGTTCTCTCTACAATATATCGGACACGACAAGAGCCTCAACAATCACAGTGTGTGTTACAACAATTAAAATTAATCACATATTATGAACTACAAGGATGTTGAAGCATGTAAGTCTCCCAAATCAGCCTTTGCTAATAGAAATTATTTTACAAATCATGTTCAATTAGTTTAAAGCCTGTTTTGAAATAATAAAAAAAGAGATTCTGTTGAAAACGTGTAATTTTCATTGATTAATAAGCAAAATTTAACATTTAAATCATAACATCACATGAAATTGATAAATCATACAGTTATTTATATAAACTTTTATTTTATTTTAGTATTGGTACATTTAAGTAGATTGTAATGTAATCAGGACAAAACACTTATGCTTTAAATATAAGGTGAAAACATTAAATTCCTCGATACTGTTAACTTTTTCTTAAATCACTCAACTGCATCACTATATTTTATATTCTGTGTTTGAATGTTGGTTTACAGACCTATTTTATTACTATTTCAATTAAACACTGAACATATTCTACACCTAAGTTAACTTAGTTGAATGGTTTCTTTCAAGTTGTGTTTGAAAAAGTTACCAAGTTGACAAGTTTAACTGGTAAGTTTGTCTTAACTTAGAGAAATAATTTGACAGGTGAAAATGACCAAACCAAAACACAAAGTTTTAAATCTGTGTCTCTTCTGAGACTGTCAAAACTGATTTACAATTTTACTTAGAGGAAGAGTTCTTAACTGCCAATTTTCTTTCTTCTTTGTATCAAGAGTGGTCATGATGCTTGATAGTATTTTTTCATGTATTTATAGTAAACATTTTCTACTACTCCATATATAATTCATATTCTCATTTGAAGCCGTTAGGAATTCCAAAATTTTAAACTAAATTATAGTTTAAATAAATTTAGTTTAATTAAATTTCTGTTTGTAAAAATATATGATAAGTAAAAAAGAACTTTTAAGCAGATCGACTTTATTATATTTATTTTATTATATATTTATATTTTAATTATATTTGGGGGAGCAGCTCGCTCAGAGCGCGGTACTGGGATTCCTGGGGTCCCGGGTTCAAATCCCACCAAATCACCAATGGATTTTATCTAAGTGATAATGCCGTAACCCCTAGGTCTAGCCTGAAGTAACGTGAAAAACAATTCCGGGCTAGTGCCTATCGCCCTAGTACAAAAAAATTATACTCCCACATTAGTTATATTAGAAAAAATTAAATAGGTACAAATTGATTGGGTTCACCATTCCAATTTTGAAATATATATTGCTGATTGTTTTAGGTTAAGGTTTCATCATCATCATAGATTGTACAATTTTCATTAAACATTCCTTAACAATTAAATTAGTTGCCTAATTTAACAGTGCTATATCACGGCAAAATAAAATGAATACTATGGCCTAAAGTTGTACCCTATCTAATTTCAACATGCACTCTAATGTTTGTTTCACCTAATCTCAATATAAATCAGAGTTAAAGGAAACAAATGTATGTTCACAAAATCAAAATTGGAAAAGTTTCAAGCTCCGTTCGTACCAGCTGCCCTCCTGTATTCCCATTTACGTGATTGTAAACAAGTTCCTTAATTTGTCTTGAATTCAGATAAAAATGCTTATAGAGAAAAAAGTAAATATAAAAAAAATACAATCTACACAGCTTTACAAAGCTGTTGAAAATGCATTACTCATTCCAATAAAAATCATAAATTAGTTTCTGGGGATGTATTCAAATTTTAATTGGTAAGTAAATACAATTATTTTAGTTTAGATTGGATATAAGTTAGTGAAGAATACAATACATTGAGTCCTTGAGGGATATTTTTTCAAACACCAAAATAATTTAAATATCTGGTAAAATGTGAGATTAGAAACGTTCTTTTTAGTTTTGAATTCTCCAAGGGAGTCCGTATGGAAGTTAACGGCCATCTTGGATTTGCCCGCCAAGAGTAATTTTAATTTCCTTAATTTCAAACAGCCGCTGAAGAGTTATTTACAATTTAGAAATATTTTTTTCAAACACCAGGGTGATTGTAATTTAAATACCTAGTTAACTGTGGGATTAGAAGTCTTCTAATTTTTTTATTGTTTTACGAGTTAGAAAGCCTAGGCTCCAAGGACTCTTAATGTCCATGCACATGGAAAGTTAAACTTTCAACTTTGCATACAAGATTAAATCATTAATCAAATATTATAGTTGGTAATAAAATAACAGCTTAAAGGTGAACTTTTAGGGAGTCAGTAATAACCTACGTACAGTATTTATAATATTTTACATATCCAGACTAGGTCTACTGGTATCTCACATTCATTATCATAGTGAAAAGCTATTTGCGATAGAATAGCTAAAGGGAGGGATAAATATTATGGCATCAGAATAAAACTACTAAAGAAATAAAAATATGAATGAAATGTTTAACATTTGGATAGCCAAGATAACTTTAAATTACAATTTTCTAAGCATCCAGAATATTTTTGTGGTTTCATCCTTTAAAAAACACTGGTTTGCTTTTTAAATCAACGGATTATTGACAACAACTCAGTTGATAAATATTTGCTTGTATTGCGTTTACCTCAATAACCTCAAAAGACATTCCATCGAAACATTATTGGAGTGTTTTGTTGTGACAACAAGCAATCATAAAACCAATGTTGTCTTTGCAAAGTGAAGCTTTAACGGATAATTGATTTTACTAAGTAACATTTCCAAAAACAGCCTCTTTCTTCGTTTTAACTTTCCTGAGAGTGTACTTTTTGAAGTGTTGGTAATTTACAAATTGTTATTAAAAAAAAATAGTAAAATATTTTAATAAATGTAAACTTATTTCAAATATTAAAATAAGAAACTAGGTTTAAGGTTTTGTTCTATATGCTAATCTACTTTGCTATTTTTTAGAAGAATATTTAGTTAAGAAAAGAAGGTTAAATAAAAAATTTTGGAAAATTAACCTCAACTCATGAGGAGTTGACCTGCTTGTGGTACATCAGCTTAGTAGGACAACCCACCTTAGAGGTAAATAAACAGTTTATGGCTCAGCAAGGAGCACGAGACAGGGGAGTTTTTTGTGTTAGAAAGTTTCTACTATAATTTTTATTTAGGCTAATCATTAATTTAGTTTGTGATAAAAAGATAAGATGGAACATGATAAAAATTGGTTAAATTAATCAACGGAAATTCCATGGAGTTCAAAGGGTTAATGAGCAAAAAATATTTTATTCAGTACAAACACAGAGTCAATATTTTATCCCACATGTAGTCAACAAAGATCTTGAGATTGGTAAACCATGTTTAGCAGATGAAGGAAAAGAGAATTTCGGAACAAAAACAACAATGTTTGCAAGGCACATGAGTAGTGTCAGAATTTGTATATAAAGTTCATGAAATAATAAACTTAACTGCATAACCATAATCCTATATTGAAATAATAGGAAATATTTGCTTGGTGACATTAAGATAGATTGGGACGTTTTGTTTAGTATCATAGTATATCAAAGATAATATGTTTTACTTCTATAAATTATTATTTTCTTGGCAAGCAATTTATTTATCCTCCTTCAGTGGGTTCATATGATTAGGATTAGCCCATTACACA